GCCATAAGATTAGAATAGTGTGTCTCCAAGGAATCATCTCTTCATTCTTTTCACCTTTATCCTATTTCCCATTTAGGGAAGAGTGGGAATCAATTCTAAATTTATGTACACCGGCCGTTTCATGCTTTTTTTTGGGATCCAAGTTTGAATTACTCTATAAGTATAAGCAAGGGTAACAGACACACTTCCATGACTAAGTGGTATAATTCACATCACATATAGTGCCCCTATTATTTTATCAAGCTACAATGGTTGTTTGATGGTTCACTATAAAAAATGTTGGCAGGTGATCACCTTTTGTTTTGTGACTTTTGGAGATTATTGGTCATGTTTTCCCGAGAATAAAGTCTTTAGATACGGATTATTCATAGGAAAATGTACCCAATAATCTCTAAAGTCACAACAACAAAAAGTAACTATATTGCCAACAAAAATTGTAATGGTTGTTACTCATCTAGTGCCTAGGATGAAGGAGAGCATAAAGGAAGAGGTAATGATTTTTCATTTTGGGGGATTAAAAATAGATAAGTTATAAGGTGTTTATATTTTCGTCTATTAGAATTAATTAATTACTAATAGTGGCACGCTTCAATCTAACATTCTCCTCAAAGCCTATTCTAGGTCTTTGTTTTTTTAAGATAAAACAGAACAAGGGAAAAATTGAAAGCTTTAAAAGGACAAAAGGCAAAAGCCTCCGCAAAGTTTAACTTTGTGGCACCAAAACTATGACAATTACTCTGCAGTGTTAGTTAGATTGGACTAGGTTTTTGGTGTGCTTCTAAGTGGTTCTGAGTTCAAAACTCCACGGTACCCGTGTGTATGAGTTTTCCTCCCTCTCCTTTCCTAACTTTGAAAAAAAAACATGAGTCAAAATCAAATTTAATAAGAACATAAGGAAACAAAAAATCAAATAACTATTCATTCACTCATATATGTATTTGGCATACAACAACAAGACACAATTCCACAAGAGAAGACAACGTGACAATCCAATTAAAGATAATTAAACATAACTAGCTAAGTTTAAAATTAATAACAATTTAGGGTAAATTGCTCAAATGGTCCTCAAACTTATACCTGATTTACATTTTGGTCCCTCAACTAAATTATTCGTTCAAATGGTCCATCAACTCTATATTATTCGCTCAAGTGGTCCTACCGTCTAATTTTCTATTAGATTTAACCTACTTTTAGGGTAAATAATGACCAATTTGCCCTCATATTTAACGAAAATATTGACAAAATGTAATAGTAGGACCAATGGAGCGAATAATATAGAGTTGATAGACTATTTGAAAGAATAATTTAATTAAAGGACCAAAATGTAAATCCAGTATAAATCTGAGGACTATTTGAGTAATTTTTATACTTGTAGCATCCTGCATGGAAAAGTTTTGAGGAACGCGTTATCCCAATGAGATAATTACTTGACTTCATCTTGATAAGAAAATAATAATAATAAATTAATTGACTTCACGACGTTGACGGTCTTGGCTAATGAAAAGTGACAACTTAAACACTTTCATTTGGTAACGTTTTTATAGTTTGGAAATTATAAATAAAAATAAACGTCAATATCTTTTAAAAGTGTTTTTCTAATCATAAAGAAAATAATTATTTATTGGTTTGTATTTTTCAAAGGATCTCTAAACGGTCTCTTCAATAACTTTGGAATGACATGTCAAAAAAAAAAAACTTTGGAATGCAAAAATAGGTGAGTCGCATAATCAAAACTCTCTCCAAGAGTCTTACAAATTTAGTCATCAAAGTTGCAACCTCTATCACTCTCTTTAGCAAGGGCGGAGCCATGTAGGGACCAGAGTGGTCCCAGCAACCCCCTCAATAAGGTTATGATATTTGCACTAAAAACTCCTAATTTTCTTTTTTTCTCTTTCTTTTCCTCTTTCGTTTGACTTAAGCATTGTGAATTTTTCCCCCTCCCTTTTTACATGTCTAAGTAGGGTACCTTAATATTGGGATTTATGAAATGTTTTAATTTGAAGAGCTTAATTTGCTAATACTATTGGCAAGAACTATATATTTTTCTTCTCTCAGTTATCTTTAATTGTGACAAATAAAAATAAAATATCATCTCTAGTTTTTAGTATGCTGGTATTTCGGTTCTAGGTTTGAATCTCACCTCTCCATGCAAATAAAAAATTAAAAAATAATTTGATTTGAAAGATTAGTTCGAGTTTATTGGTTAAGTTGGAATTTGGCCCTACTAAATAGTGTGAAATGTGAAGAGGACACGACGCTTCTCGTACGAATCAGTATGGAAACTATATTCTAGAAGATGCACGAGCTAGCATTGTTTAAGATTTGTCGAACGACTTAATTGCTTTTGATAAATAAATAAAAATAAAAATAATACAAAACGATTCTGTTGCTTAACGTGATCAAACTCTCCGATCAATGGTTCAGGCTTGAGGCTGCAAGTAATAGTTGAGTCTTTGTTAAACTTGGTTTCCACCTTCCTCACCTTACACGTGACTCTTACCCCCAATAATAATAATAATAATAATAATAATAAAGACAAAAAACAAAGATATTATTTTTATCGTAAAAAACAAAGGATAGTGGGAAACCAAGAAATTACCGTATCTTGGGCTATTAATTTTAACTTCCGACCACCACGCTTTCAATTCTACTGAAAATTTAAGTAAAAATTAAAATAAAAAAATATTAAAAGAAATAGTTTGCTCTCTCGAAAAACCCACATGAAGCCCCTCAAATGATCCTCAAACTTATACCCGAGCTGCATTTTGGTTCATAAACTAAATTATTAGTTCAAATGGTCTACAAACTCTTTATTATTAGTTGAATTGGTCATACCGTAACATTTTTAAAACTATTTTCAAATAAAGATTTGTTTATTATATATTATGTCCACATGAAGTCCACGTCATCAAAACTAGGGGCTCACATTTGCCACATCGGCATTTAACAAATTCATTAACGGTTTGTGTAACAGTGGGGCAATTTGTAGGGTTTTCGGGAGTTTGAGTACGTATTTGTAAATGTCCCTAAAATTGGGTTGAAAATGACCATATAGTTTGGGGAGTCTTTTGTAGAGAGAGATGGCAGAGGGGGATGAAAAAAAAAATGCAATTTTCATGTTCTTTTTTCATTTTTTAATGTTTGGTAGGAAAGACCCTTGATTTTTAATGGTTAATTTTTAAAAGATATATAATTTTTTTTATAATGATTTTTCCATTTTAAAATCACCTTTGAAAATGAAAAGACTAAAATATACTTAAATGGATAGAAAGTTGGATGGTGTTAAACTCAGATACAAATCATGGATTTTGATAAATTTAGGTGACATTTCTCTTAAATTTTTCTTTAAGGTGAAAAATTGAAACTGAGGTATAAGTTCATGTGACATTTCTACATAAATCCCTAAAAATCACTGCAACCCTAAACAATTAGCTTGTCGTTGTACCATTGTTTGGCTCTGATCATTATCATCATCTTGGAAACAAGGATCAAAATTTCAGACTTTTATCATCGTCATCATCATCTTGGGAATAAGGATATGAATTTGAGACTTTTAAAACGGAAATTCGATTCAGTTGTGACTCCATGAATTTGCTGTCATATATCCTTCCCGTCATGTTTCTCCTTTTTCCCTCATATTTTTCTATTTTTATTTTCTCTTAGAAAGTAGCACAATCGTAGAAAACCCAGAAGAAGAAGAACTTAGATGAAGAAAAAATTAAATTAAATTAAAAACACGAGGGGAGCAGGAGAAGAAAGAGCAGCAAACATGGTGGGAAGGATATGATGTCATATTGATGGTTTAGGGCTAGCAGTGGGTTTTTTTTTAGGAAGAAAAACTACAGGGTTTTATAAATTAAGTTTTAAGTTTTTTCATTTTCTGCATGAAATAAATAAATAAATAGAATAATAATCCAAATTGGAATTTATCAAGTAAATATATATGATATGGCACATGCCACATCATTGGGACTCAAATTTGGTGTACTTAGTATTTTTGTTCTTAATATTATCTTTAACTAAGGGCATTTTTTAATATTTTGAATATTTTACCATTCCCTGCCCCTGCCTATATATATGGATATTGCAACCACCACAGGTACCCCAATTCATTGCAACTTAACAAGAACCAAGACTGTTGAAGCAGTAGCTAAACTGGCTTTTGGGACAAAAATAACAAACACCAGAAAATCCACTCACATGGTAATTCTCTTAAAAAATTTCTGTCAAAGAGCAGCAGTAGGCGAAACAATAGAAAATATGAATTTAGATTAATAATTCTCAATAAAATTGTAATAATCAAATACAATAACAAATTTACATGAAATTAATGTAATCAACAAACACAAATAGAAACACTAACAACTTCGGCAATTGAGGCCTCCAAGAATTGCAATGTCCTAAAAACATATTTCACCCCAACCCTTGCAGTTTTTATTGGCGCCCACCTCCCAGGATTCAACAATCAATAATTCTAAATTGAAGCACTTCAATTTAAGACTCTTGCAAACTAATTATATATTTGTACTCTCAACAAAACTCAAAAGAATTTAACAAACATAAAATAGAGTACTAGGGGATACTCTATTTTTCACGGAAAGAACTCTCTCCAGCCTGAGGATATCTCAAGTTGATGAAGGGTGCTTGATTTATATAAAACTCATTGCACCCCTGATAAAACAACGTATCTATGAATTAGTGTAAGTTCAAGAGATACAACCTTTGCATCCTTGTGCATGTTGAACAGCAACGGACACAATCTAAGGAAACCGAACAGTTGGAGAAACTTATTTTTCATTCACTATAGAAATTAAATATTATTAAATAATAAAAAATCCAACAGCAGCCACTGGTGGAGAATTTTATACCGTGATCCTCTCTTAGTAATACAGAAGAAATTCTAGAGAAAGAATTCATGTGTGAACGGGATATTATGAATGAGAGTTTCAGAATAAAAAATTTGCATAACTGTCAATAAATTTTGCTCGAACAAAGGAACTTCATGGTTCGGGTTGCATTTTCTCACATTCTTCTCTGATTGACTGGAAAAGTATGGTGGAGAGATATCGTTCACCGAAACTTGGAAACACTACCTGTAAGCAATCAAATTCTGAAATGAATTGATTCAAGAAGAATTGAAAGGAATAGAGTTTTGAGGTAATTATATAAAGCGCATGCTCTACAGAGATCATACAGAAAACAGCCCAAGAAAATGGTGATTGTGTGAAAATTCAGAACATGACTAGGATGCCTCAATTCAATGGTCCGGATTTTATCTTGCAAGTCCATAGAGCACTACTCAATATGCAAAATTATGGAGTGACTTTTATTCCTTTTACCAGACTTGTAAAAGTAATATCTGAATGTGCATAATCAAATTAAATCCGTTGGGAATGCCCTAGTTAAGAATGAAGATCAATCCCAGAGACTCTTGTACATGGAAAGTTAAGATGGACATCAGACCCAGCAACAAGTGTAGGAAATATGCATCCAGTGAAACCATCTCTTTTATTCCCCAGTCAAATCAAGCCATCTCACATGAAAAGATTCTAAACACAAAGGTGTTTAGATTTTCTTAGTCCCACCCCAAGATTTAGGAAATAAGTATCCAACGATGCCGTCTCTTCTTTCATTCTTTTTCTCCCAGTCAAATCAAGTTCTCACAAGTAACAATGCTAGCACAAACGTCTGCATTTTCTTAGTCCCAACCCTTAAACCAAAAAGCCCATTTACAAGGATTTTTACAATTTTTGGACCTCTTCCTCTGATCATCCATTAAATTTTAAAGCCTACATCTTCTATGTTTTCTACTCCCCATTCCCACTTTCTCTCAGGGCATACCAATTAATGCTGCAGCTCAACTCACAATGCGTAAGTTCCATCAATTTCATACAAAAAAAAAAATTTACACAGAAAAATAGAGAGATGATATACCGTGATAAGCTTCCCTGCATTTTCAGGTCTCTTACCAACCTTGAGAGCAGCAGCAGCAGCAGCCCCAGAAGAAATACCAACCTGATATGATACGAAGTTAAAAATTAAACCACTAAACTAAAGAATTTAATATAAAAACATATACATAAATATAGTCTGGAATGTGGTCTAGATTCATAGTCTGGATACACCAGTATGGCAAGAGAACATTACTCCATATGCAGCAACCGTAAATTTCTGATATTATTGGTCAAAATGTCAAAAAAGGGGATCGATATGGAAGAGGGGGGGAAGATTATTTCTTCATCCCGTATCGAAATATCAGCAAAATATTGTTGAAATCATATTGGTTGGAATGAAAAAATCACGCACAAGTCAGTTTCTAGGTTGTGTGAGTCAGCACTTTTGCTGTTATAGACGTGAAGAAGAAGAAGATGTGCACCCGAACTTTTTCTTTTGAAAGTTTTTGGATAGATAAACAATAGGGGCTGGCCTCCTTATAATGAAATATACAGAGATGGCCTCCTTTGAATGAAGTGCACTGTTTTATTTAATTTGCTTTTGGGAACCCTTTCATTAAAGGATGGGTATCTAATGCTGCTGTTAAAGAAACTAGAACCCTAGCCCAATTGACTAACGGACCCAAGTACTTTTAGAGAGCCTTGTAGATGCTCCTGCATCAAACTCCCCTGGTTGGAAAAGACTCGTCCTCGAGTCTTGATCGTCATCACCAAAGACTCCATGAGAAAACTGAATTCTTCCTTTCCAAACAAAGAGATATTTTGAATATCGAACCACTCTTGAACACTTATGATTATTCTCTTTCATCAGAGGTAAACTGACAATGACTAGCCAAAACATAGGTATGTCAATCATAGTTCATCGCTTATTATCTCCCATGTTAAGTGATTAATCCCTAAAACAAGGACTAAAAGCGCATACCAACAAGCCTTCCTGGAGTGCTAATTGCTTCGCAGTTTCAACAGCTTCATCACTTGAGATCTGCCAAAATCACAATCTGTGAGAACTAAACTAAAAACCAACTTCACAAGGACCTTATGTGATTAACGATACATAGATGAATGACTAGAAAATTAACATTTGACAGGATAAATTAGAAAGGAACCCTGATATTTTTATTTCTTTATTTTTTTTGGAAGAAAGGAACCATGATTTATACTGCAGAAAAGCACAATTCTATCTTATTAACTTAGAAAGTAAGCTTTGATACAATAACATTTTAAAACTTTTTCAAGTATACAGAGAGAGAAACAGACCCAAAAAAAAAAAAAAAAAAAAAAAAAAAAAAAAAAAAAAAAAATTAATAGATTGAAATAATTAAATTGGATTAAAAGATTAAACTCTATATATCTTCATCGACAACATCCTGGTGCAAATTTCTAGGTATAAATCCAGCTCCAATCCCTTGAATCTTGTGGGGACCTGTATTTTAAAAAATGAAAAGTAAATGAACATGAAAATAAGTAATAAATGAGAAATTTTTTAAAAACACTGCACACTAAACTCATTAGAAGGCTGGTCCTCTATCTTACCGGGCTTTCCACCTGAAAGGATGTTGCTTTCTGAGGGTTCTACACCAATAATCTGTTACTTTAATGATCAGATGACGTCACTCAAATGGGAACCAAAACAAGAAGAGAAAGGATAACAAAAGAAAGGCAGGGAGGAAAATTATAAATAAATAAATAAAACACAAAAGAAGAGAAATTCTCTTTGAAAATAATTCACCCTCCACCCAGTACACAGATATACCAGGATCTACGTCAAATTAAATTTGCCCTCTAATTGACACAGTCAAGGCAAGGCTATCAGATTCAGGCTGGTCAGCACTTTCGCATATACAGTTTGGAAATTATGAATCAGAAAAACAGCATACCTTTATTTTAGGATTTTTCTCTTTAAGGAATCGTCCTGCCCCAGAAATGGTTCCACCAGTTCCAATTCCTCCAATAAATATATCCACTTTGCCTCTTGTATCTTCCCAGATCTCTGGACCAGTTGTCTCATAGTGTATCTGCATACAGAACATATAATGAATTTATACACATCTAACCGTATTGGAAGCCATAATGGTATTACGCTATAACTACAAAGAGGATCCCTATGACAATTTGGTATCCTTATGGTAAGGTGATGAAGGTCAAACTCAAATGCTTTATAGACTCCATGTAAAACCAAACTAATCATTTACAGCAAGCTTTGAAGCACATGATCAAAACCGACTGAAGAAGAAAAATAATCAGCCAAGGTAAAAATATCTCTTGGATTTGAGTTGACTCGTATCTAATTCGTTAACTTCATTTGCTTTCCAAGGTCAAGCTCATGCACATATGGTTCTTTTTGTTTTTGAGAAGCAATGTACTACTCTAGAATATATTGATCGATGACTACTTTGGGCTGTGGGCTTTTCAGTATACATATGTGAAGCTCGGCACAGTAGAAATATTTCTTTGCACCAGATATAAGCACCATTTCCACCATCACTGTGGACACTCTAAACCCCTCCCAAGAAAACATGGCTGACATGACTTCTAGTGTTTTGGGCCGGCATATGACAATTAAAAAAAGGGAAAAAAAAACATTGAAACATGGTAGTTAATTAAAGGCTTAATTGCTCTAGTGCCCCCTCAAAGTATGGTCAAATCATGCATTGCCTCCTGGAAGTCAAAGTGATCCACCTTCTACCCTTGACAGATGTTTTGCATCTCACTTTGTTCTGCATCATCAGGTCCGTCAAAAAATCTGTTCAAAACATCAACATGACAGAAACAGTACCCACTGTTTTGCTGAAATGTATTCCACATAAGTGTCAAGTGTGCAATTAAATAATAGAATATTTTCTTTTAAAAAAATTGATTACTAAAATTAATGTTTTAAAATATTTTAAAAAATCCCCAATCCCCCTCTTCCCCTCCCCATTACCCACCTACCCCGCTGTACCCCCGACACCCCACTCTCCTCCCTTCCTCCCCACATTGTGAAATCCCCTCTCAACCCGATTCCCACCACCACCCCAATGTGGGTGTGACCTAGATTTTGTTGCTCGATTTAGACTACCAATACACACGCTCAATTTACATTGCAGTGGATTGATTTATTTTAAAATATTATTTTTAATAGTTCAATTCATACACACATGGCATTTACGTGGCATACATTTCAGCAAAGTTGTGGGTCCCACTCATGCCACGTTAGCATTTTTAACTAATTTTTTGACGGACTTGATAAGGAACAAGGTGAGACACAAAAATCGATCAAGGGGGCAAGGTGGGTTTCTTTAACTTACCAGGGGGCAACGTGGGTTACTTTGACTTACCAGGGGCAATGTAATACTGTAGTTTTTGGGAGCACTAAGCAATTAGCCTCAAAATAATGTAACATGTGGCTGAAGAGCCTAGCTGCTAAAGGAGCCAATTGTTCAACAAAGTGAGAATAGGAAGCCAAGATACCTTAGGATTAGCAGGATTGTCAAACTGTTGAAGCATGTATGCATTGGGTGTGCTTTTGAATATTTCTTCAGCTTTCTGAACTGCTCCCTTCATTCCCTTTGCTGAATCAGTCAAAACAAGCTCAGCTCCAAATGCCTTTAGAAGAACCCTTCTCTCCAAACTCATTGAAGCTGGCATTGTCAAGATGAGTTTATATCCTTTAGTGGCAGCAATAAATGCAAGCCCAATGCCTGTGTTTCCACTAGTGGGTTCCACCAGAACACTCTAAAAATAAATGAGAAAGAAACTGAGTCAATGTGTACAGAAAGCTAAAACAAGAAACAAAATGAAGCTTCTTAGGCATGGCTGGTTTTACATGAACCAGAACCACAAATAATCCAGACATGTGAATCATCCACCTTGTTTCCAAATGACAACACGAGAGACAGTCATAATGCGAATTAATAATTAAAACAAGTGTAAGGTTCAAGATTTAAACAGCCAAGACCAAATTATGGGAAAGGCCATTGCTGCATAATATCCACAATTTGTTATGAGTTCAACACAAACCCAGAGAGGCATGACAATGCAACACGTAGCCAATTCTAAAAGACATCCGATTGCAGGTGGTAAATATAGCACAATACATGCGGCTGGGACATCCAGTATCACAAGCCATTTGGTCAGTTAGAATTGGTAAAGGGTCTTTTACCAAAACCAAAAACCAAAAACTTTGGTAATGTGCAGTTTTGGTAGTTTTCGGTATCAGTAGTTTTTCATCTAATATAAAACCTGCTGATATACATGTACACACACGTACACATTAACTAAAATTGTAAGCTTACTATTAGTGACCTAAACATTTCCACAAGTTCTTTGATATATTTTGGTAATAACCAATTCAAAAAAATAAATCAGTAGTGGGTCGATTTTGGTCATTTTCAGTATTTACCAAAATCAAACCAACTATTTCGATATTTTATGGTTTTGGGTTTTTCAATTTTCAGATTGTGAAAATCGGTTACCATACCAAAAATAAATTCAGTTGATTATCGGTCTGTTTGGTTTTTACCAAACCAAATGGCAGCCATCGTCACAATTTTGAAGTAAGATATAGGGATCTCTAAGAATTACTCCTCCGCAACAGGAACCCTAGTTTGAATTGGCATCTGATCCAAAAAAATCTAATGCCTGGTCGGAGAGTCATAACTTCAAGGGCAAGAGGCACAGGGGGTCCAGAAGGGGCAGATGCCCCTGCTCTTTTTTCTTTTTTCTTTTGATTGTGTGTGTGGAAGAACAATAAGTGATGTTTGAAAGATATTCTAACTTATATACCCTTAAAGAATCACTATTCCAGCAGCATTCCCTAATCCAATTGATTTCCATTTTATTTTCCATATTCTAGCCTATCCCCTTTCAATTTTAGACCCCATATACACAGTCGCACGCCTCTATATATATTATGAGTTTCAAGCTTTCCTTCTATATTGTCTGAGCTGCCCCATGTCAAGCAATATTTGGGCTCCACCCTTGGCTTTAGGCATCACATTTGACCAGGCATTCATGCTAATAATACAGTATGTTGAGTAATATCCACAATCAGTTACCTGTCCAGGCTTTATAAGTCCTCTTTGCTCAGCATCGATTATCATACTGTACCCTATCCTGAAGATGAATACCAGAAACATTAACAGTGATATTAAACATTTATTATTGACATTCTATGTCTACAGTACTGAGAAAACAAATAGAGATAATACCATAATATAACGAGACATTTGCAATTATATAATCCTCATACAAACATCATTATCCTAAACCTAAAATACAAGATTTGGGGTCCGTAGTTACTTTTTGAGCTGATAAACATATTAACGTACAGTTATCTATGGCAGGCAAGTATATTGAATCATCCTTGTTAGACAGCATCTCGAAACAGAATACCTAAATTCATTTAATTCCTATTCTATTCTTATTGTATAGGCTAGGGTTTTTTTTTCCTCTCACTTCAGTCCGATCTTAATGTTTCTAAACCATGTAAAACAATACAAATAATACACAGAATTGTAGTCATTGCCTCCTCACCTGTCCTTGACACTGCAACATGGCTCCATAATCTCAAGCTTTGCAGCAATGTTTGCAACAGACCCCTTTACGATGTTATTCAGGTACACCATCGGTGTTTTTCCAATAAGCTGCATCACCAAAGTTGCCAGTGTAACATATGAATTAACAAGAAACCTATGCACTTCAAGTTTATCAAAGAAAAAAAAGTCGCAAATGTCTCGGTCACATGGTTTCTAGTTACTAGTACTACGGAACAGAAAATGGCAAGTTTAATACTACATCACTAAGTAACAGAGGGGATAGCACCATTACTTAGAACAACATTTCAACTCAACCAAATTTGACTATATTTTAAGTACTCAACACAGCGTCAAAGATTTTCTTCAGTCTTAGCTACTTTTTTTTATACGAAATCAGGCACAAAAAAAAATGGCAGGCTTTATTTTGAATCCTGATAGAAAATACAGAAAAATCAGATTTGTGGTTTTGTACAACATAAAAACTAAAAAAATTCAAATTAATTTGTAGGGTAGATTTGGAATAGGCCCCATAAAGGTGAGAATATAATTTCTTTAGTATACTATAAATATTAAAATCTGCTTTTGAAAACATAGACTTTCAGTACAAAAAGCAACTTGAAGCATCCCATAAAATGATTAAAGTTATTCTACTCCCGCAACAAAGTAATTCAAAACGACATAATCACGTAGATAAATACAGTTTAATTTTCCCAGCATCTACAGTTCAATGAACTCCAATTTTGCTATATAAGTCAATCTTAATGAAAGTTATACAATGTAGCATTTGATTATAAAGAGAAATAATCATAAATTTCCACGCAGCTACACTACAATACTCTGATTTTCAATTATTCCAGAACTTCCGGATAACAACAACAATAAACCACTTAAGTTAACTTAAGTGTCTAAAGAATATTGTACTTCCAATTTTACTCTTGAATAAAGTGAAGAAAAGGACAAATTGAATTAGAATACAAACAATAAATCACATCCGGCTTCATGAGTGTACCCACTCATACTTTCGTCTATAATCCACCATCACTCATCTTCTTCCTTACAGATACCTTAAACATACTCAAAATCATTGCTAAAATTAAACAACTTTTGAAGCCCTAAACCTAACAACACTCAAATTCGGTCCATATGATCTTCTCTTTTCAAATATTAACCCCAATAAATAAATAAAAGATTGAAAAGCCCAATAGAGTGGATGCTTCAATTTCAGTGGAGAACTTCATGGATGCTTCCAGTGATTTAGTAGTCTTATGTTCAGTTTTTTACATTAGGTGGGTGTGAGTGTGGATAAAGTTTGAGTTTACTTACAATATTCAATATGTAACTCAATTTGGGTTCTAGTGAGTGTAATTTTGGAATGTGGTTTACACTTACAAATAATTAGATTTTTCTTTGAAGAGAGTTGGGTGTAGATATTAAGCTCAGTTAACTTATGGACAAGTTGGGGTCAAATACAGCCATCCTTTATTCAATAAAAACACAAAGTTTGCCGTCTCAATCATGTTTATCATGAAAGGAATGAGGCTGATGGCTAGGTTCAGACTTTCTTTACTTATGCTTCTCAGTTTTCACTTTTGATCCTGATTGTTGGGTGCATCTCATACGGGATGATATGTTTGGAGTGCTAGATCTTGTTTAGCTGTTTTGTCGTTTTTGTGTAGGCCTTTTGCCCCCAATCACCAAAAGAAAAACACAAACGTAGCCTAACGACAATAACTGCTCACTTTTCAAATTTTAGACTATAATTCTTAAACTTACATCCTCGAGGTAGAAACAAATATTTTTTATCTCCTATTAATTTAATTTCTCAATGTCATAATTTTAAGAATTTTCTGATTAAATAAACAACTCAATAGTGTCCATTTATAGTATGAGAAAACTATTTATTTGCTGACCAAGTAACACCTAATGGCATTGAAATTAAAGTAATGGAAATGGGTAGCACCCCTTTGGTGCTTTAAAGATAATTTTATATAGTTATCAGGAAATATAGATACCTACATAAAATAGTGCAAAACTGATTCAAAGTTATGTAGAATTCATCCTTCTTTTTATATTGTGTGATCACACAAGTCCCAGTCTCCCAGAAAGATCTTGATATAGACAATTACCAATAACTTAGATTCACTTAAGATAACCTGCTTCATATATCTTTATAAATTTGTTTAAAGTTTACAAAATTGTGCCGCCTAACCGGTGCGTCAAAAGAATTAAAAAAACAAAAACAAAATAGGACAGATACAATTGTTGGCCATCTGTATCAAACTGAGAGCACTAGAATTCTCAATATCAAGTACACGGAAAAAAAAACCAAAACAAACAAAAGTGCGAAGACTACTTATCTCTTCCTCTCAAATTGTCTTAGAAAAGGTCAAGTTTTCTTGTTAAATGGTAAATATATAATTCACCATAAGAGTGACTTGAAGTCATCAAATACATCGTTCTCTTGTATTTTCTCCACCAATAAATCTAACCCCAAGCATATTCAACAGTAACAGTTGACCACACAAGCATCAAACAGAGCACCACAAAAAAACATAATAAAACCAGTTTAAATAAAGTGGACACTCCTAGCTTCCTTATTCTGAGCTACTAATGTTGTATAATTTAGTCTAGCTATATATAGTTTCAACCAAAAAAAATAAAAAAGTTCATAATCTGGATCATTTAAAAAGGAAATTTTATATAAAAAAAAGACTTAAAATTGCATCTTCAGTACACGTTGAAAATAAATTTCCATACAATTAAAAGAAGAATCAATCACAACTCCATAACAATCGACCAACAACATTAATATAAATTAAACGAATCTACCAATGTCCATGTACCTAAGCAGCTTAAATTAATCAAACTTGTCGATCTAGAACCATATTCATCTTCAAATCAAACGAAGAAACCCAACCCAATTCGTATTTCTCAGAGACAAAGTCAAAATGGTATTTACCTGAGTGACATCTTCAGCAATGTTGAGACCCTCAACGGCGGTCTGTGGCGTCACAGAAACAGCCTTGCACACCACAGAGGAAACTGAAGAAGGCTTCCCTATCTGGCGCATGCTCTTGCTGTTGCTCTTGTTGTTGGACCTCACGCTCAAAGACGTGGTGGTGGCGGGGCCCACCCCCACCACCCATAGCTGTTTGGGAGCTGTGAGCTCTGATTTTGGGCTGCAGAGCGAGGATGTCAACGGATTGATCAGAGAAGCAGAGCCCATTTTTCTTTGGTTTTGCTATCGCTCTAGTTTTGTTGACTGAGTTGAGCAAAGCGAAATTTTTAGTGCTTCACTGTTTCACGGTTTGTTTATGTGTGGTGTGGGTGTGGATTCCGTAGACCGTAGAGTATAGCTGGCGGCTTTTTCCGAGTCCAATACTTCAGGGTTAATTTCAGTTTAGTACCGATAAGGCATGTTAGTCTCTGTACTCTCAATTTTAATGATTTCGTACCCTTATCTTTCTAATTTGTTTCAATTGGGTTCCACCATTAACTTCACTATCATCTTTCTAATTTGTTTCAATTGGGTTCCACCATTAACTTCACTATCAATATTACCGTTAATTGCTTGCGTGTTATATGTGGGTCCCACGAGTTCGATGCTTTCGATGTCAACTAAGGGGCATTTTCGACCATTTATTGTATTCCTGCCCAAACCCCTCCCCAAAAAAAAAAAAAAAAAAAAAAAAAAAAAAAAAAAAAAAAAGGACACGTGGCTCTAATTGGGCCAAAATAATAATAAAAAATTAAAAATCAAAATTAACAAAAATTAATTAATCAATATTCAAAATAAAAAAGGATATTAATCCCTTCCTAACAATTATGGAAAACTTGAGCAACTGTGCATATTAAACCCAAATTTCTTCTTCTCATTTCTTCGCTGTAATTCAGCGACTTTGCATTTGAGAACAAAAGAGTATAGCCACTCAGCTATACTATTTATAAAGAATATTATATATATAAAAAAGACCCCAGTACCGCAGCGCAGCTATACTCTATTTTTTATATAAAAAATATCCCTCGTATAGCCGTACGGCTATACTATTTATTAATAAATTATAATAAAAGATGACCCTTCTAGTTGCATTAGTTTATAATTTATAAATATCAATTTGATAGTTTCGACATCTCCAAAGCAAATATTGAAGAGAGAGAAATTTCACAGTAAATCAATTTCTTCTTTTTTTGGGGGAATATTTGCCTTTGGTATACCTCGTTCTCTTGAGTGCTACTAAATTCTGTTACTGCACACATTATTTGTTGTAAAGAATTGCATGTTGAGTTGGAATGTTCTTGGTAATTGCTTCACATTTCAAACAACATTTTACATAACATTTTACATAAATAATACTACCACCTCACTTACTACTATTCCCATAAATCTTTGTTTGAAATTATTGTTCTGGTCGGCAAAGAGTTTCCAAAAACCACCATCTTGCATTTTTGTTACAACAAGTAAAAATTAATCTTAGTCTCTCACATTCTTTCAATTAGTAAAATATGGAACGGGAAAAATATGAATAAAATACGTACGTGTTTTATCCGGAAATATTTTGGCGAATTACAACCGATAAGTTCGGCCACTATATAATATTTTAATTTGATTTATTTAATATATATTATTTTTATTCAAAAATATGCACAAATGTTGTGTATAATACTTGAATTTTGTGTGTCTAATTGAAAATTTTGTAAAAAATAAGTGTATTAAACATATAAAAAAATACGTACGTACGCTTACAATATGAGTATTAAACATGAAAATGCAAAATTCTTCATACAGGCAATAGCTATGGAAAAGTTAAAAAAATATATATATGTATTTCCCTAGTATAGCCACTCGACTATACGATTTTTTAATGAAAACTCATCGTTTAGCCGCGCGGCTATACCTTTTTTTATAAATTAAAAAAAAATTCGTATAGCCAACCGGCTATACTATCTATTAAAAAAAAGTTTAAAAAGGGGCTGGCGGTAGCACCCGCTTCACCACGTGTCAAAACAGTATAGATGTGCGGTTATACCAGTATAGCAATACGGCTATACTAATTTTATCATAAAAAAATCTGAGTATCAGAACCCGCCTGGAGCCTATGCCTATTTTGCCACGTGTCAAAATGGTATAGCCAGGCGGCTATACTATTTTTAATAATAAAAAAAGTAGTATAGCCGCACGGCCAGACTCGAAGTATATTGTATGGAGTATAGCCGCACGGCTATAATATTTATTTTTAAAAAAAATTGACCCTTGTAGTTGCATTTGCTTTTAATTTATAGATATTAATTTGATAGCTTCAACATCTCCATAGTAGATATTGAAGAGAGATATTTCATAGTAAATCAACTTGAAAAAGTTTTTTTTTTTTTGTTTTTTGTTTGCCTTTGGTCTACATCGTCTCTCTTCGAGTGCTAAACTATTAATTCTAGTATATATAGAAAATTTCAATTTTTTTTTTTTTTTTTTTTTTTTTTTTTTTTTTTTTGTTGTACATTGGAGGAGGAGAAAATCACTTGAGTTTGATCTTGGGTGCCATGGAGGGGAGGGGGAATCCACCATCACTATGGTGGGAACCCATTGGCACTGCACATATTATTTGTTGTAGAGAATTGCATGCTAACTTGGAGTGTTCTTGGTAATTGCTTTACATTTTAAACAACATTTTACATGAAGAATACTACCACCTCGCTTACTACTACCTATAAATCCTTATTTGAAATTTTTGTTCATTTTGGCAAAGAGTTTGCAAAATCACGATCTTGCATTTTTGTTACAACGAGTAAGAAATAATCTTAGTCTCTCACATTCTTTTAGTTAGTAAAATACGGAATGGGAAAAATATGAATAAAATACGTACGTGTTTCATTCGGAAATATTTTGGCGAATTACAACTGATAAGTTCAGCCACTATATAATATTTTATTTTTTATTTTTAATATATATTATTTTTATTCAATAATATGCAAAAAAATATGTGCATAATACCTTAATTTTGTGTGTATAATTGAAAATTTTGTAAAAAAACAAGTGTATTAATGACAGAACCCACCCCGAATTTCTTGGAATCCGTGACGGATCCTGTAGTTTTTCAAACATTCAACCGATATTGGGCCCACTTACTAAATACAAACCTCCTTTTCCCTTAAAACAAAGGAAAAAAGGGCCAAGACTTCTACCGAAATTTCAGCAGAGTTTACCCTGAAAAACATACTTTACCAAAATTTTCAACCTGTCAAAAACACAGTTTAAAATCACCAAACTTAGCATGCATAAAGTACGTCACACACAACAAACAAACAGGCCTCCGGCCTCATAACCAAACATTTTCTAAAACGTTCTTGCTTTTGAACTCCTTTGTAAATTCATACACTCGTACCAATTATCGTAACAGCAATCAAAAAAGACATTTCTCCTTTCAAAATTCATTTCCACACTTAGAACAATACAAGTACAGCTCAAACAGTTTATTTTGCGGCTGCACCTAGGTTAAACCCTAAGCTACCTACGTACCCATTAGTAAGGGATCAAGCCACACGTAGTTCTTATATCAACAACCACGATTCAAATAATATACGATTATTTAAACTAATACCAATGATTAAATTTATATTCATTTACAACTTCAAATTCGACAAGGCACACACTGAACACTTTAGAAGTTCCTTCCTTTTTATCAGTTCTTTTCCTCAACCATACCTTATCCAAGGCGTATGTTGCCAGACAACACTTTCCAGATGGAGCTATAATTGTCATATCCACTTGTTTGTATAATTACTAGCTTTTGGTTTTCATAACTTTAAATTAAAGACAAATTCAGCCAGTTACACTATGACACAAAATAATACCGATCATAGTTTTCAACGTAAAAGAGCTCAAAACTCATAACAGTTCTCACTTTCCAAACTATAAATCAAACGTTCATACTTGTGCAAAGTACTCACGAAGCACAAGTTCAAGAATCTCAACCCAAAAACGAATCCACATATACATATATATATATATATGTACATATTAAATACATACATATATATATATATGAATATATACACATCTTACACCATCCTCATGTACCAGGGGAAAACAATCCAACACGGAGATTATTTGACTAAACCACATGGAAGAATCCTCAATTGACCATGTGGCTAGGGAACGAGCCGTCCAACAGGAGGACTAGGCTCACCAGCACACACAGCAGAATCCTCAATACTGGGGCGCCTACCCTGTTAAGGGTCTACAAAACACCCCTTCAAAGGTGCTCGGGTTCCGATCATATCCAAGTATCCATATCCACTGTTTCCAAGTATCAGTATCCAAAGAGAGGTACATATGACAGTGCACATCATGTATCGGGGAAAACAATCCAACATGGGGATTGTTTGGCTGAACCACACGGAGGAATCCTCAACAACCATGTGGCCAGGGACAAGCCGTCCAACCGGGGAACTGGGCTCACTAGCACGCACAGCAAAATCCTCAATACTCGTGCATCTGTGACAACTCCTACTCGCGCAGACTACCCGCTAAAGGTCTATAGTAACACCCCGTCAAGGGTGCCCAGATTCTGACATATTCAAACTATAACCACAGTTTCCAAGTATCCATTATCCATCAATATCCAAAGGGAGGGTATATGAGATGACGTGTCATTGCCAAGATCCAAAATCTACTTTCATAAACAACTATATATAATAAAAGATAATATTCTCAAAATCCAATTTCCAAATATTCAGAGGTACCCCAAACCCATATATATAATAATAGTAATTTGTTATAAAAATAGAGGGAGAAAATGTAGAGAGAAGTGATATGCTAAAGATGAAGTTTCACCATGTTTATTCTTTTATTAATCTTTGGTAGAACCACCTATTTATAGGCTTACAAGATAGGAAATTGAATACCATCATTTACAATATACCTATAGGTTACAAGCACTAATTACAAATACTTAGGGCAGAGGTTACATAAAATCCAATGGTGGAATACTAAGAGGTATGGTGGTCATCCACCAACTCATGCATTTACAACACTTCCCCTTGGATGTCCACCATACAATAACATAGTTCCCTCATTAAAAACCTTACTTGGAAAACTCAGTGGGACAAAACCGAAGCGAAGGGAAAAAGAATGAAACTTTTTTCTGGATCATTGATATAGTGTTGGATGCGCTTATGTTGCCTCGTTAAAACCTTGCTAGGATAAACCCAGTGGGACAAAAACCTAGTCAAAGGGAAAAAGAGTACAACGCGCATATGTCTTGTATGTAGTAGAATTGGGATGCTCCCCTTAATTGATATCTCCCCCTGATTAATATCTCCCCTTCTCTGATTTGAGTAATACAAGCAACATTGTCTTCATACATGATCGTCTATCACACTATTTGACGTGCTTTTCACTTTTCAAATGATTGAAATCTTTAGGAACCTCAACAACTAATTTAATAGTTAGAATATGTTACAACAATATCAAATTTGAATTCAAAATACTCAAACTCTTAGTGTTAACTCTTAATTAAGAATATTGTGGTACTTTATATCCTTCAAGGGGTCGCTTCATCCGATATATCTCAAATATATCATGAGCTTTGAGGATCTCCATACACCATACAGTCTTAATAAATATGCATTTAACACATGCTATAAGTTTCGCGTTAAAATAGCAACTGCACTAATAGAAATGTGGATGCATCTACGATGGGAGACTAAAACCATGTCTCTCCCATGAAACCTTATGTCATATTAGTGATCTTATTTCACTTCACTAACACCAATTCGTAACCTTCATACTTAACATTTGTAATTTGGTGTTTGGGCAATAGGTTCAATATCTCAGACTTCATATTTAGTGATAAATGGAATTGCCTATTTCCATTTTGGCCAATCACTTAACTTGTTGACATTCATAAGGCGATTTAATATAATCATAGCCCTTGATGATTGTAGTAGCTACTAATAAACCAAATGTATCATCAATTCATGATCCCACAATTCTCATGTGCATGTGCATGCGCATGCATAATCTATAAGCATCTCATTGCTTTGGGGTACCAATGCCTCTTCAGGGGCTGATGTTGTCACTTATGGGACAAACATCTCTTTTACGATGAATTAATTAGAATATATGGATCATAACCTCATATAGAGCGTTATTTTTTATAGGGCTTGATTTTTCAAATAATCTCCACTTCTAGGGAGTTAATTTTTTAAAACCTATATTTTTGTCATGCTCATAGTCACTTATTGTCATGTTAATGAATTGTGATACATGAATATCAATCCATGCTTTCATATTCATAACTTTATATATGCATTATCTTGATTATCTTGATGAGACAAAAGCGGACCGATTCAACACTATTTCACGACGTTTTTCAGGAACTGTCATTTCTCCTCATAACGGCGGGAAAATTGTCTCAAAATTTAGGAAAATAAACTCACAGTCATTATCAAATATGTAACCATTTTAGTAGGCACATTTAGTAAAACTAATGAAGTGATTCATAATTAAATGTTGTATAGGCTCACAAATATCCCCTTGAATTAGGGCTCAAAGTCAATTTTTGACTGAGATGATCGTATGACAGCTTTTATTTGTGAGCATTCTTTGTAATGATATTTGTTGGACAAGACAATATTTTGAGTCTTTAAACGATGTCCTTACAAATTTATAAAAATCTTATGTATCATTGAGGAACATGGATTGCTAAGACAGTCATGCCACAACATAAAAGTTATCCGATAAATGAATTTCTGGTTCATCACATCATAATCTTCAACTACTGTAATAGTTGTATAATATTGGGGCCTCATGAACTTCTGGTTCATAACATCATAAACTTCCTACCCACAAAAGAAAGTAGGAAGTTTCTCCAATAAACGTCTCTGGCTGTCAATATTGGGGGCGGTAATACAAGACATTGCCATTGTAAAATGAAATTAACTAATAACCCAACATAAATAAAATAAAATGAGTAAAGTGGTATAAACGAGGAATAAAATAAAGAAATTAAAGACTATGAAATTCCAAGATAATCCAATATTAATGTGGATTCAATATGTAGATAAAACTACAAGTTTAAGAATTGGATTTCCAACCAATTCAGGTTCATATAGGCACAAATAAGTAATGAACTTTAGGTGATCCATGAAAAACTATGAACTTCAGGTTCATATCAACATATATTCGAAACTGCAGGTTCGAATACGTAGATCTAAATAATTTGAATTAATAGTTGTGCTTTGAACTTCATACCCAAATCGATGTATATGCACTCAAAACTTCTGGTTCGGGTTATTGACATATGTACGCCTCATAGAATTCTGATTTTGATTAATACAAAATTAAGGAGTTTCATGTCCTTATGTGTTCATTAAATTCGCGGAACTTCACATCCTCAATTAATTGGAATCAAAGAACTTCAGGTTCTGATTCAATCAAAAGAACTCTAGGTCCTAATCTAGTTATATGAAGAATAAACATGGTGAAACTTCATCTTTAGTATATCACTTCTCTCTACATTTTCTCCCTCTAGTTTTATAACACATTATCAGCACAACATTGCTCTTGGTATGTTTTCTTTCTCTGAAATTTCATTATTCTTATATGAGCTAGAGTCATCAAATGGTATAGAGTTTCTTTGTACTCGCCATCAGACTTCATCATGTTCGTTTAAGAGAAAAAAATCCTATTCTTATTACACATGAATATAATGCCATTTTTTAAAATTTGTTTGTTTATTAATTTTATGTATGATCTTAATTATTATGATGAATTTGTATTATATAAAAGATCAGGGCGCGAAGTTCCTCGATCCTCATCTTTATTAATCTTTGGTAGAACCACCTATTTATAGGCTTACATGATAGGAAATTGAATACCATCATTTACAATGTACCTATAGGTTACAAGCACTAATTACAAATACTTAGTGCATAGGTTACATAAAATCCAATGGTGGAATACTAAGAGGTATGGTGGTCATCCACCAACTCATGCATTTACAACATAATTACAATAATAATAGTAATAAATAATAATAATACTAACAATAGTAATCCCTGGAAATCCCATTATCATATCTTCCATAACTCAAAATATTGTAGTAAAGACAACAACTCTCAAAAGCATACACTCCAAACCCCACACATTCATAGCCTTAAACCAAAATTAAATACCCACCGACTCGGTTTCCACGATCATAATTGAATTCCAGATTCACACTATCCTCAAAGCTTCATTTATATCGATATAACAGCCAATAACCACAATTAAACAATATTATAATCTCAAAATTAATATAAACATACCTTTCAAATGTTCAAAGAGTAATGCACATTAAACCCTAAACCCAAACACTACCAAAACTCGCTATACAGCCTCAACTGCGTATTTAAGATCAAACCCTAGTCCCCGGGACGTAACGTGGACCCCCCCACCTTAGAAAAGCCCTATGGCTATTCTAGTACTTTCCAAAGGATTCGACAATTGTTGAGGCCTAAAAAATCCACGGCTTGACCCAAATGAATTCTCAGCCCAGCGCAATACCTTATTGAGAAAAAACCCAACTTGGAGCACACAAAAGTCCGCCATGCACGAGTCACACTCCACGCACCGTGCCAAATAAATAATCCGTCATGCTAGGAATCGAGATTAAGATTATAAAATGTACTATCTTTGCAAATCCATGCTAATTATCCCGTCAAGCATAATAATTAAAAGCATGCCAAGCGATATGTCATGCCAAGCGACATGTCATGCCAAGCAGGAAATCATTATTACACACCCAACCACGCTACAAGCCTAAGTGGGCCTAAGCCACTCGAATGCCCGGGGCTTGCTGAGTGGGTTGTGGTATTGACGGTAATGAATCAACATGAGACCCATTAATGGGCTAAGAAATGGAAAGTCTCGGGTTGCTTGAGAGCCTCGGGACTCAAGCCCATTTATTAGGCCCAAACATGTGGGTGAGCACAAGAGGGAAAAGAAATAGCCCAAATAGCCCCAAATAGCCTATTGACTCAACCAAAAAGCCCAATGTTTAACAAAAATAGCCCACTTGCTTAAGGAACCACATTGGCCCATACAAAACTCCAAAATAAGCCACAAAAGCCTCAACCTTTTGCTAGAAAAATAGAAGCCACGTAGAGAAAGTCTGCAGGTTCATTGAACAGAGCTGCTGGGAGGTTCCAGCGCATGGGAGAGCAAGTTTCAAAGCCAAAACATTCGAGAAACCAAGGGGTATTAGCGTGTAAGATGCCAAAGAGAGGAGCACCCTTCGAACTAGCATATATATCCCAACTCCTTTCCCCATCAGAAAAAAAAAAAAAAAAAAAAAAAAAAAAAGAAATAAAAAAAAAAGAGATGATGGGGGAATGTAATTCCATTGAGACAGCTGTGGGAAAAGGGGGCCCTGAGCTTCAAAAAAACTCTGATCTGGTGCAAATAGGGAGAAGGGATTTCATCAAAATGGGAAAAGTCAAGGAAGGAGATGAGAAATCATGGAAAAAGCTTGGCCAAAATGGGTAGAAGCTTTCTTGGGAAGTGATGGTTTCCAGCGGCTATAAAATGAAGCCTCTCCTACCTAACAAATGGAACCCAGATTCAGAGAGCAAGCTTTCTCTCTAACTTGCAAAAACCCAGCAATCTCGTGCACTGTTCACCCTCTTCTCCATTCTTCTCTTCTGGTAGACAGAGTATCTGTCAAGCTGCTGGAAAAGCATTGTTCTTCATTTCTCTCTTCCTAGCCAAATCTCCTACAAATCTCTCCTTTCTCACCTTAACACTTCCCTTTTTCCCCCTAAGAAAGCCTAAATTTCCCCTTAGTGCTAAACTCATGTTGATTTTGCTTCCATACCACAAGCTGCTTATGCCAAGCTCAAAAGTTTATCTGTAAGCATGCAATTACCTGTAAGTTGTCACTGTTTTGGCTGGTGAAGGTAACCAAAATACTTCCTAAGGCTTTGCTGCCCTTTCGAAGCATTTTTGGGGCTTAATTTTCGACCTCAGACAAAGGGGAAAATTTCATCAGTTCGGCAACCCAGCCCATTTACAGTTGCCAGAAGAAAAAGTACCCTACAACAATCTCAAAAGACCCATGGTCAACGGTTTAGTCAAACTTTTCATTTTTTTTCAACGGGGACCGCAGGGCCCATGGCCTCCGATTTCAAATCTGAAAGTTTCTAGAGGTCCAACAAGGTCTACTGAACACATCCTAGAAGTCTAGTCTCGATATAGCGGTTGGATCGCTCTCGATTGCACGATCGGACGGTCACGAATTTATCTAACCATAGAATCATTCATTCGGAATATTCGGGACTCCGATTTTCTATCTGTGAGTTCCTACATGATCCTAGAGGTACAGAGAACAACATATTTGGAATTGGAGCCAATCCAACGGTCCCAACATATCGAACCCGGATATCGCCTAATAGGCGTAAATTCGTTCGATTGTCATGTGATAACCAAATTTGAATTCGAGCATACCGTCGCGCTCAAGACGACATGGGGATCAAATCAGAACACAATGGGCCACTGCAGAATGGCCCACGAGCCGCCACATGCTCCCGCAGCGAGTGGGTGGCTTGAAAAATTTTCAACAACAAAAATTTCTCAAATCACCCAACAATACCTATACCCACGTGATTAGGACAACTAGAGGAACAACTTATACAACTAGGCCGACCACCAATTTGGCTGGGAAATGGCCGAAAAAAGCTTCCAAAGTTGAACAAAACCTAGGTTTCCAATCGAACACTCGCGCCTTTAAATCGATCCAAACCAACTATCAAAACAACTAGAGGACATTGAGAGTATGAAAAACCGTACCTCACTCGACTGATTTGGTTGCCGGAAACGCCGTGGCTTGAGTCTAAAAAATCCCGAAAATTCTCCTCGTTCTAGTTGCTAAACCGTGCGAAATTAATCTTAGAAATCTAGTGGGCTAAGTAAAGGAGGAGGAGGAGAGGAAGATTTTGGAGGTAATTCGTCGAAATTCGTGGTCGAACGGCGACGGAATCTCCAAAATTGGGTGTGAGAGAGGAAGGGTTGATCGCGTATTTAGGGTTTTGACAATTTTCAAAATTACCGTTACATCCTTTTAGTTTGCAGACCTTTACGAGTTCATTACATCTCATAATTGGGCATGCCCCGCGTGTGCAAAGTCTTTTCGATGAGCCCGATGCAACAATGCAACTCAATTCCCCAAATTCTTTCCCAAACAAAAAGTGACTAAAGTGACTCTACCCCCAATGGCAAAATTGGAATTTCTCAAAAGTATTAAATTGAGTTAAATCGATTAAATTGTGTATGTACGTGTACAATAAAGTATTAAACGTGAAAATGTTAAATCATTTATGCGGGAAATAGCTCTGGAAAAGTCAAGAACCATATGCAAAGCCTGAATAGATGAATATAGATGGTTTTGAGGATAATGAAGAAATGTGTCTTGTCATTGTTTCATAACAATAGCAGCTTACACTTCCTATATGACTCTAGTGAAGATAACACCAAACATGCATTCCCAGAATTTAATGTAGCAACAGACATGGAGGCTATAGAGTTCCATATTAGGATGCAATTTCCAAATAGTACTAGTTTCATAAATGCTTTGATGATCACTTCAATCAAAGAATGCTGAGAAGTTTGTTGGATGAAGTTTGAGAAGTTTAGGATAAGGGCAATTTGCGTTGCAGAGAGCTATCCATTTGAGATTTATGCTTCCAAGATGCAGCATGAGGATACACTACAAGTGAAGAGACTCGATCCAACACACACTTGTAGCAGGGTTTGGGAAAATAAAAGGGTGAAGTCTTCTTGGCTCGCCAAAACATTTATGGAAGAGGTGAAGACAAACCCCACAGTTCCTGTGGTTTCTTTCAAGGCAACAATATAAAAAAAATATCAAAAGTGGGATCTCCAATACAAAGGCAAGGAGATACAAATAAGGAATAATATGCTAGGATGTGGGATTATGAAGTAGAACTCAGGAAGACAAACCTTGGAACAACAGTGCAAATCAAGTGTGATTATAATGAAGTGTTACAACAGACAGTGTTCCAAAGAATGTACATATATATGGGTGCACTGAAGAAGGGATTCAAAGCAGGATGCATGCCACTTATAGGATTGGATGGGTGTCATTTGAAGAATCCTTATGAAGGGCAGTTGTTGTCAGCTATTGGTTTGGATGCCAATAATATGACTTGGGTGATTGCATATGCTCAAGTTGAGGTAGAAAACAAAGAATCCTGAATATGGTTTTCATAGCTGCTTGTAAAAGATATTGAATTGGAGAACCAATTTGGGTTCCCTTTCATAAGTAACAAGCAAAAAGGTTTGTTGGAAGCTTTTGAAGCAGTGGTGCCTAATTGTGACATAGATTTTGTTCAAGGCATCTGTTGGCTAACTTCAGAACCATGTATAAGGGAAAGATGTTGAAGAATGCCTTCTGGGTAGCTGCCAAGGCAACCACAGTTCCTCAATTCAGAAGGGCAATGGAGGTGATGAAAACATTGGATGGAAATGCATATAATTGGCTTACAACTCTAGAAAGACCACCAAGACATTAGTCAAAGTCACACTTTAACACCAATTTGAAGTGTAGAATGTTGCTAAACAATCTATGTGAGTCTTTTAATTCATGGATATTGGATGCTAGGACAAAGCCAATCATTTCAATGGTGAAGGAGATTAGGGTTAAGTTAATAAGAAGGGTACATATGATGAGGGATGTGATGATGAAATATATTGGTAGATTATGTCTTAAGTCGTTCGGAAAGCTTGAAAATAACAAACTTCATGTGGTATATTGCATTGCAATTATGTCTGGAGGCCCCAAGTTCCAAGTAAACACTGGAAATTATGGCCAATTTGTGGTGGATTTGAATGACATGACATGCAATTGCAGGAACTGAGATTTATCTTATGTCCCATATAAGTATGCAATGACAGTTATTAACCATAAGAAAGGGGTAGGCTTGACAATTATGTAGATAACTGTTACTTGAAGGAAACATTCTTGAAGACAAATAAGAACATTATTCTTCCTATGAATGGAATGGAATTATGGGAAACCACGGATTTCCCTAAATTATTACCTTCAATGTATAGCAGGTAGCCTGACCAACCAAGCATGGTTAGGAAGAAGGAAATAGGTGAAAGAAAGACCAAAAGTAGTGGGAAGAAACTATGCAAATTCCAAGACTCTCTCAAATGTGGTATATGTGGTCAAAAAGATCATAATTCATTAATTTGCCATAGACATAAGCCACCAAATGCTAAAACCTATGGCACTAAGAAGAGTAAGGCCAAAGCAGTTGCTGGATCATTCACACGAGCAACCAAAGCTAATACTTATGAAGCTGAGATGAAGAGAAAGAACTTCATGAGAAAAAAGGCAAAACAAAGAGCTGCAAAGCTGAAGGTAAGTCTCTTTTCACAGCTGCTTGATAGTGGATACTTCTCCATAAATTGATTGTATCTTTGTATTATTAGGAAAAGAGAGACAAGAAGAAAGTTGAAGATGGTTTAACAAGAGCAACTGATTCAAGCAATCAAAATGGCTTGGTGAGGAAGAGGGTGAAGTGCACAAAGACAACATGTAGTAACTGTGCTTATGTCCAAGAATCACAAAATGGACAGTAGGATAAAATGTTGCTTTTGGTTTGGCTTGAATATGAGTTGAACTTTATTGGATGGCTTTTGGGTTGGAATCAGTTTCATAGGTATTTTGCTTTTGTCATATAGGTTGAATTATGTTGGATGGTTTTATGGGTTGGATGAATTTTGATATGTATTGCCTCCCATGTTATGACTTTTTGGGCTGGAACTAGTTTCATAGGTATTTTGCTTTTGTTATTGGTTGAATTTTGTTGGATCGCTTTGTGGGTTGGATGAATTTTGTTATGTTGGATGGCATTTTAGATTAGAACCAGTTTCATAGGTATTTTGCTTTTGTACTTTTGTTTTAAGACCAAATGTTGGATGTGGATGCATTCAGTTTATGTGAAAACTGGTTGGCATTTTATTTAGTCTACTTTTGTATGAAACAACAAGTTGGAAAAATTTGTTTACAAAAAACTAGTTTGGTACATGCGAATTGTGAGCAAAATGGAATTTTGATTACACTAACCACTGATTATATAACCCAACACTACATGTGAATTGTGATTACAAACTAACCCATAATAGCCTTCTCCAATGTTAGTTTTGATACAAACAATACAACAAAACTAGTTTCATACATGCTATTTGTGAGCAAAAGGGAATTTTGATTACACTAGCCACTGATCATATAACCCAACATTTCATGCGAATTGTGATTACAAAATGAACCCATAATATCCTTCTCCAGTGTTAGTTTGATACAAAACATAAAAATAAACAGCATGCCAATTCCAGTGTTGCCTTCTTTCTAGTTGAAGTGTTCTCCTCATTAGAAGCTACTAAAAGAAATGCAAAAATTATCCCAATAGCCAAGATAAATGCCCAGAGTAGCCTCTCTCTACTACGAGACCTCCTCAGTTCACCCTTAACCACATCTATCCTTTTCAATAACCTAGGAATTATCATCTTTGATTGTGCACACATTTCAAGATCAAACTAGTGAAAATACCCACACCTATTCACTTGCACATTAAGATAATTTCTCCATCAAATTCCACAAACCTAATTAACTGCCATACAAATTTCACCATCAAAGTAGAAAAACAATCAAACCTTGCGACAACTCAAGAATCTAAGTGTAGTCCAAGATGTTTCGAATCGAGCTATCTCCCCGCAAAAGCAACAATGACCCTCCTTCATTGGAGAACTCCTTATTTCACATACATAGATGCTGGAAATTGGAGAATCAGGTTTCAAACTGATACTTCTGCTTTTTAAATTTTTTTTATTTCAACCCAATTAAATGCAGCCACATGTCTTTATTTATTTATTTAGAGAGGGGTTTGGGCCAAAATGCCCCTCAATTGACATCGAAAGCAACGAACTCGTGGGACCCACATATGACACAAGCAATTAACGGAGATATTGACAGTGAAGTTGATGTTGAAATCCAATTGAAACAAATTGGAAAGATGAGGGTATAGAATCGTTAAAATTGAGAGTACAAGGACTAACATACCTTACAAGTAAGAGTTCAAAGTACTAAACAGAAATTAACCCAAAATTCAATGATGTACTTTCAAGTAAATAAATTGTAACACACTTGAACCATATGTTCACTAATCAGGAATTTGGATAAATAGAAATCAGAGTATTCAGGAATAGGGTTAAACATGAATTGAGTGATTTAAAAATCAGAATAGAAACAAGTTTGATTACCAAAATGCTCTTGCAAAATAAATTCAAATTGTTCAACTACTTACACAATTTTTCAAATGATAAAATTTTTGTTTTAAAAAAAAAAATCAATAGAACAAATGACAAATCTTTTTTTTTTTTTTTTTTTTAAGTTCTCTAACTATAAAAACCAACTTTTTTATATAGTAATAATAATTCCAATTTAATATATGTAAAAATAACCATGTTTTATAAGTTTAATTATTACTTCCTAGTATATATTTTTTTTTTTGGTTGAATACTTCCTCGTATATCTAAATATATAGGATTAAGTTAAATATATTTATGTTCAAAGAAAATGGAATCAACTTGTTTTTGTTTTGTTTTTGTTTTTGTGTGTCTGTGTGTGTGTGTGTTTTCACAAAATATATGAGGGCAATTTTGGTAGAAAAATGTCCATTTCGATTCATCCATGCCCAATACCACCTTCCCCACCCGGAATGCCATTGCTCCTATATTAGGAATCAAAGTCATGATTACATGTGGGTCCCGCATCACTTTTCATTCCCAACACAAGTAAACAAAGGAGTAGTGGGTCACTCATCCTGAGATTGCTCTAGCCCCAACTCGTTTAACTTCGGAGTTCCCATGACTCCGAAGCTAATGAGCTCTCAAAAGGCCCCGTGTTAGATGGAGGTGGGCATGTACATATAAGGCACATCACTCCTTCTCCGTTGGTTGATGTGGGATGTTACAATCCACCCTCTTAGGGTCCTAACGTCCTTGTCGGCACACTCACACCAGACGACAAAGTGGCTCTAATACCAAATTGTCACATCCCAGAATCGGCTCCGCCGTAGCACGATATTATCCGATGCCCCCCTCTCTGCCTTCACAGTTTAGTTTCTGGGAGCTCACGAGCAATTTCCTAATAGGTCACCAATCCTGGGATTGCTCTAGTCCAAACTCGCTTAACTTCGAAGTTCCCATGACTCCAAAGCTAGTGAGCTCCCAAAAGGCCTCGTGCTAGATGGAGGTGGACATGTACATATAAGGCACATCACCCCCTCTCCGTTGGTAGATGTGGGATGTTATACAAAAGAAGGGTAACAAGAATAGACAACTTTGCGAATGTACTCCCCATCCTCAATTTGAATTCAAATCCCCATTTTTTCAGTTTAGATTAGATTGACTAAATAATCGTATTTCTGGTTGAAGCTCTCTTAAAAGAATTAGAGAATTGGGTTTTACAAATGTGCCCTCAAATACGAATAAGCGTATTTGAGGGATCCCTCAACTGAAGTTCTCTGTATATATCAATATCTATCTCTATAGAAGCCTCAAACTGTGAAACATTTGAAAACAATAAAAATACCCATGATAACAAAAATGTTAAAACACCACAATCTAATATAATGAGGGTATAATAGTAACTTTACTCTTTTTTTGCAAAATTACAAATTTAAAAAAAATGTCCACCTAGGTAATTAAAGAAAAGTAGTTACTGCCCACTTTACCCACATACCTCTCCCTCTCCATTGCAACCAAAATTATCTCTTTTTTGTTTTATTTTTTATTTTTATTTTTATATTTTTATATATGTTTGCCCTAAAACTAAATAAATAGAGATAAATGCAACTTACGGTGACGTGGGCGATCTGGGGACCAAGTAAGCCCTTGGTGCGAGCACATTCTTCTTTGGGGCGTAGTGTTTAGACCTGGGCTAAGAAAAGAAACAACGGTTGAGGTCTAAAGCACCGGTGTGGTACCAGTCGAAGACCCTCCGATGCTAAAGTAAGTTTGAGGAAGAGCTTTTTGTTTTACCAATGCTAGGGCATGAGAATCAAGTTGAAAAGTCTTACCCTTTGTCTAAGGCAAGGGGCCATATTTATAGAGAGTATTTAGGATGCTCTTAGTATTTAGTTTCAATGTGGGACTCATGGGAGTGCCCTATGAGGTCGACACAAGTCCTCAAAATATTAGTGGGGAGTTTGGAGATCGTCTCGCCTAATCGACATGGCACACTGATCATTATGTCCGAGAAGCTTCCGGGAGCGCTTGCCGATCGGTGGGGGCAGCAACTGTGCTTTGTGATGAATCGGTCGCGGACACCGATTCATACTTAATTGGTCTGTTAGTGGGCCACAATGTTTCCTAACTTCGTGCTCTTTCCACGTGTCATGATGTGAGTAGAAGGGTTGGCTATAGTACAAACAATATATGTTATATATTTAACTAATTAAAAACTAAGAATAAATCATTTTTAAAAAGCCCAATTGGCACACGCGTGCTAAAAGACTATTATTTAGTTAAATGGAATGACAATACTCATAAATTGGGAAATTAAGAACATAGGAGACATGCACGAATCTTAGAAGGGAACAAAATATCAGCCCACCCAAGTCCCACGCGAGTATGGCTCAAATGAGAACACTATATACAGATCAATCTCAACCTTCCAAACTCATCTGAACGATTGAAGAGAAAAAGTAAGCTTACTGTGAAAACGGGTTTGTTGCACATCCCCTTAGGCCACGTGTCCTACCACGCCTTTTCGCATCACGCCTTTTCCTGTTGCGCCTTTCTTTCCTTCCTCCCTTTAATTCATTTTTTAATTTTAAACCCAAAATCTTACAACCCACCACATTAAAAACAAATAGTTTTAAATTTGTCCGAAAGTATCAAAAAGAAATTGCTCCCGGCGATTTCACTATTATGTTGTAAGAGCTGAATTGAATTTATCAACTTCTCTTTAATCGACTTCTGATCGTTAACCAAGCAATAAGCTTTAGCCCATATTTTATGTTTATAGTGCACCATTTCAATCCAAACCATATATATCTACTCACAACACAACTCATGGTTGTATTACCAACAAAGAAATGCCCCAAACAATAAGCTTCAACCCATAGTTTTTGTTTTGTAGTGCATCATTTCAATCCAATCGCGTTTTAAACAATATGTATTTATCATCATTGCCAATGTTGTTCGAACTCCGTTAGTGTCAAAGTGCCATGCACACAGTAGCTAAATTTTTCATGACCCACCTTCCTTAGCAATATATTGTTTGCTTTAGGCCAAGGCCCTCACGATTTTGTTTATGGGCTCAAGCTTATGCTACTTTGCCCAAAAGACTTCTTGCTATGAAGTGAAGTGATCACACATATATGACATTTCACATTTCCCTCGCTGAGCAATGTGAATTTTGTCATATACGTTGGTCTTGTGCTTGATGTCAAAAATCAACATATCTCCAAAGCAACAATAATCATGTAGGGATTGAGAGTCTCTCCAAAACAAATTTGTCAAAAAATTCTCTTACCTCTGTGTTCATGTAGTTTTCTCTTTAGTATATCTCTGCTCTTATCGGGAACAAGAACAAGTATTTTCAAAGAAATTATTTCGTAGTACCAGACATTCAGAAGCCATTACACCTTAAGTTTTAGGTCAACGTATTTTGTTGTCACCCCAAATTAATTTAATAACAAGGAACTAATCAATTCCAAGCCTAACAACTCCTTCCTTAAATTCAAAACAGCCAGCAATGATTTCTAACAAAGTTCTTAAAACGATTTTGCAGAGACAATTAGCAAGAAATAAAGCCCAAACAGATTTCAAATTGAATTCCCAAAAAGTACCTAAACTTTTACAATTATCCCAACAATGTCCCTCGACTCCGACTCAGCAGCCGTGGCTTCCACCAGCAGAGACTGGTACTTTCCCTCACCGCCCTTCATCCACAACAACACGAACTCTACGAAATTTCCAAAATACCCTCGAAGATTCCCAACAAACCCCAGGCCGTCCCAACACCTTCCTCCCGATTATCGGCCGCCATTTGGCGGCGTTTCGTCTCCCAATTCGTCGCCGCCGTTTCGCAGCGTTTCGTCCTCGACCTCGGCCCCTCACAGAGCTTTTAACCATGAGAGGCTTAGACGGAGGGTCGATTTCGGTCGCCGGCGAGAGAAGCCGCAGCAAAACGACGTCAACGAGGCCATTCCAAGCGTTTCCGACGGCGTTTCGAGAAGAAGATCGGAGGTTTCGAGTGCGGTTTCGGGCGATAAGTTTTTGGGAAATGGTTTCAACGTTCGGTGGAAAATGGCCTTTTTCGTAGCGGTACTCTCTCTCACCAATTGATATTTGTACATACATATACATTTATGATTTTGATCCCAAATTTTTTTTTGTGCATCCGGCAGATTGCGACGACAGTATTTTCATCAGTGGTGTACCAGAATTTCTGTTTACATATCCAAGTCAATGAGTTGCAGGTATAGTTCTATTGCTTGCGATGCTTACAGTATTTATTTATTAAAGAATGAAAGAAATGAAATATTGGAGACATCTCAATTAGTATTACTTGGCACTTTTAATGTCGATAGGCATGTACAGTAAAAAAAAAATTGAAATTTTTGTAATAAAATAAATGAAAAAGTAGTTGACATGAAATGAAATAAATTTAAATTTAGTTTGGATGTATGTAGTAAATTAACTCATAACTTATATGAATTCCTTGTATTTCCATATATGACATCTAAGATTCCTTGACTTGTACTGGCAGATATACTCATATGTCCCGGACACCTTATCGCATTGCAATTTCCGTTTTGCCTTGTAATTTATTTTGTTTTCCGGAAGACACATTAATATAATAGTCCTTTTGGTTGATCAGATACCGGTCTTTAGTTTGTCGTGTAAAACTAATAGCATCTAACTTGAATAGCCATTAAAAACGAGAGGACTATTTTTAACAATTTGTTGAAATTTTACTTTACCAGAATCGTTGGTTAAAAAGCTTGTGAGATACCAAATATTTTTGTGAAATTCAAACATTGAGCTTTAATAAGATTCAGCCTGCAAACACTATGAGTGGAACTAAGCAAAGTAAGGTATTTGAACTTATTGTTTTAGTTTTGGTTGATCTTTTAGATAACATACGTGATTCATCGAAAAAAGAAACATAAAAACAAAGAAGAAAAACTTTAAGGCTGTGTATGGATGGCTGCAATAGGAGATTCAAATGAATTTCATGTAATAGGATATTCCCAGTAATAGGATACTTGTATTTTCCTTACTCAGTCCAATTTTAAATAAAAACAAAACTAAGATTTTCAGTAATTTTTCAGCAAAAGGAAAAACAAAAACAGAAACTTTAATCGGAAATTTGAATACGTGACACACACTTGTGTTTCACCGCCTTCCCGCAACATTCAGACTTGTAACTAGGCTTTAATGTTAAACTTGATTCTGCACCATCTCACCAAAATATGGGAGTCCTTCAATTTATAGCTCGATGTTAATTTTTTTCTATTGGTTTCCATTCCTAAAATCCTAGAATTTTTTATCTATATGAAAATGCAAAAAATAATTAGGTTCGTTTTGGCAGCCCTAGTTAAACCAAAGCAAAAATTTTCTTTTACAAACTGGCTCAGAAGAACAAGAATAATATTTGTTTGGCTAAAAGGGTAGAGCAAGTATGGTTTTTTGAGGTAGATTAAAAAGTACCCAAAGATTTTCTAAATTAATTTACCAGGAAAAGGAAAAGTACAAAGTAAGGAGGATCACAGAGGTGCTTAATTGGCAATGATGCCTTTATGTTTGGAGCACTGAAAACACCACAGAAGCCTAGTTGGTTCTGGCAGATCCCTCAGAATTCTCTGAGGTTAGAGCTCTTAGTTTGAAGATGAGGTGTTTTTATTCAATAATCTTTCCTTTTCCTTTCCTTTTCATTTTTTTTTCTTGTTTCACTCCTGCAAAGCAATACCAACCAGTTAGGGGTTTAAGATATCCAGAAGATGTGGTATATATCTATACAAGCCTGGTTTAGGTTCGCCTAGGATATTCCTACCTGGGCAGGTTCAAATGCCGAAGTGAGCCAGGTCAAAAGTTTTTCTTCATTTCTGCCACTAAGATGGGGTATCTCATACTTTTTTTTCCTTACCGTTTTCTTAATTTCCCCCCTAATTTTCGTAGTGGCTTTGGTAAGTTTTTGTACTCTTTCACAATTTTAGTTTTTAAGGCTTTTCTACTACAATGCCAATCACAATTTTCAATAAAACACTGTCAAAACCAAATTTACGAATAAGATAAGAATGAGAAACTTATGTGTTGCTCAGTTCATATAACAGCTTGTGCATCTGGTTTCATGTTTCCTTGGATGGGTCAAAGTGCCTTTCAATGATGATTTCTTTTTCTGTTTTTTTTCCAATCTGACTACGATGTTGTGTCCCCTAGATATGAGCTGGGCCTACTAATTTTTCTGTTAATGTATGGAACTTTGTTTAAATGGTGAGGCCATACTAATTGAAACACATGCTCTGCTTTCAGGAACATATTTCCAAGCTTGAATTTACGTTACGAGCCTACAATTTGTCAGATTCTATGGAACTCATCAGTTCCTTTGGGCAGCAGAGTGATCTCCACAGCAAAATTTTAAAAAGATTAGCTCTTATGGTCTCCCTCACACTTTTATCTATGCCTGTCCTAGCTTTCAAGTACATTGATTATGTCTCTAGATCAAGGTCATCAGAAAACATTTCAGAAGAAGTGTCTCTAAACAAACAGCTAGCATATCGAGTTGATTTGTTTTTATCAGTCCACCCATATTCTAAGCCATTGGCATTGTTAGTTGCAACTCTATTACTTATTTTTCTTGGTGGTTTAGCACTCTTCGGAGTGAAAGATGATAGCTTAGCAGAATGCCTTTGGTTATCGTGGACTTATGTAGCTGATTCTGGCAACCATACTGACTCTGAAAAGATTGGTGAAAGGCTCGTTTCAGTTTCCATTAGCTTTGGCGGTATGCTCATATTTGCAATGATGCTTGGACTTGTATCTGATGCAATTTCGGAGAAGTTTGATTCATTGAGGAAAGGAAGAAGTAAGGTGGTTGAGCAAAACCATACTTTAATTCTTGGCTGGAGCGATAAATTGGTAAAGTTCTGATTGCTTTGCTTATTTTCAGAAAAAGTTAAAGTTTTACTTTAAGGAAAACTGTTTTAGTAGCTTGAATTGCATTTTTGTTCCATTTGTTAAGTATTCCATTGTAAATTCAGGGATCGTTATTGAATCAGCTTGCAATAGCCAATGAGAGTTTGGGTGGAGGGATTGTTGTAGTCATGGCTGAGCGAGATAAAGAGGAAATGGAACTTGACATTGCTAAAATGGAGTTTAATTTCAAAGGAACATCTGTAATATGCAGAAGTGGGAGCCCTCTTATTTTGGCTGACCTGAAAAAGGTATGAGTGCTTGCCTTCTTTGGGTTATTTGAATTAAAAATATGGTTAGAATTTTCTCCTCTATGACGCCCAGCAATTTCAGGCGGCATGCAAGGCAGGAGAGGGGCACAATAAAATATGATGAACTTCATAACTCCAATTTTTATACAGAATTTTATGATCTACCTCAGTAGGATAATTGAACTGGAACAGTTAGATAATTGAGTGAAGATATATTAATGTGGGTTGGCACATGGGGCCAAATGGGTTTGGTTTTTGTGACAACTCATGTCAGTCTGGTCTTCTCACTTTAAGTCATATTTTTATGAAATGATGGAGTGATTTTAAAATACCTTAAAGTGTTTTGGACTTGGTTTTTTTGTAAATTTTGGCGCAAGCTCATGGTGTTCACTTTGAAATGTAACTTGCCATTGACGAAATTCAGAGTTATCTATTTGAAGATCAACTTTAGTTATCTGATTATTGTCAACTTCAGTCCTAGGGGGTGTTACGTATCAACTACGAAGAGTTCCTTTTGTTATATACACATCAACAAATAGGTTTAATTTCATTAAAATAGAAAAAGAAACAAACTAAATCCTTTCTCAGTAATTCCTCTCTCTTAATTTTTCTTCATCTTTTTGTTTTCTCTGAAATTTCAGCAGCCATAAACCTTCTTTGCTCTACAAAAATATTAGATTTATTAATCATAAGAAACACTCACTGTGTGTTAGAACTGTTTCGTAATGCATGCATATGATGCTGAAACTATTCATGCCATTTGTATGCCTCTCTATGTGTGTTACTTATACAACTATTTGCAGGTCTCTGTCTCTAAAGCCCGTGCAATAATCGTCCTTGCTGAAGATGGAAATGCTGATCAGGTATACTTGAATTAGAAAATTTAAGTTCTCTAATATTTAATATCATAGTATACTTATATTGTGTCAAACTAGGGTAATTTTTTAATATTATTAAAAAAAAATTAGTTTCTTTAAACTTTTTAAAAACATGTAAGTCAACTTTACAGCAGTCTATTCCTTTTCCTTTTTTTATTCCTACACACCAACATATTGTTCACTGGTTTGACGCAGAGTGATGCCCGTGCATTGAGAACAGTTTTAAGTCTAACTGGAGTAAAAGAAGGGCTGAGAGGACATATTGTGGTTGAACTAAGTGATCTTGACAATGAGGTTCTTGTTAAACTTGTTGGTGGAGATCTTGTTGAAACTGTTGTGGCTCTGATGTAATTGGCCGTTTGATGATTCAATGTGCTAGGCAGCCTGGACTTGCACAGGTCACTTTCCGTTAGTGTTGCATGATTTTAACTTTATTGTGGATGGTCACACAATTCTATTTCAATGCAACTTTTTGTCTTCTTTTTTTTTGGTAACTAAATTTCTTGTCGATTATGGCAATTGATTGTCTTCTATTCCCCCTCTGATGGACCTAGCAGATCTGGGAAGATATCCTTGGGTTTGAAAATTGCGAGTTCTACATCAAAAGATGGTCACAGTTGGATGGCATGCATTTTGAGGATGTATTGATCAGTTATCCTGATGCCATTCCTTGTGGAATCAAGGTTGCATCATTAGGTGGTAAAATTATTTTGAATCCCGATGACTCTTATGTTCTACAAGAAGGCGATGAAGTGCTTGTCATAGCCGAGGATGACGATACCTATGCTCCTGCACCATTGCCTACGGTGATTTCCAATTCCTTTAAAGCATAGAGTTTCCAAATTTTAGCTTGATGTTTCTGCTAGTTTGTTTTAACTTTTTCACTTTTCATTTTCTCCTTTTGTTTGTGTTGATGGTCTACTTAAGGTTACTAATTCTAGAGTACGTCATTGAAAAATAAACATATTTAGTTAAATTAGTTCTCAGAGACGTTGATTTCTCCTTGTCCTAGTCATGATGCATTTAGGGTCACTGTTTGAGGGTGACAAGAACAAATAAATAAATATACTGCAGATAGATAAGTATTTTTTCCTTTCAGCAACTATCGTCCGTAAGATTCAAAGTCAGGACCTCCTCCAATAACGTGGTACCAAATGGTCAATGGGAAACATATTACAGAGATAGAAAAATAATTAGTGCATTAAGAGAGAGAAGTTATTGGCGACTTGGGTATCAGCGATTAGCCTTTCTTTCTAGTTCTCAATATCACATCAGATCCTTGATGTTTTTATTTTTGGTTAGGAAGCAATCATTCAATTACTGTGCTGATGATTAATTATATGGAACAAATGGAAAAGCTATTTGATTGTTTTCAAAGTTTTTATTATGGAAATTGCAGATGTTTTTTTTTTCTTTCTTTTTTTACTAATGAAGTTTCAGAATTGTTTATCATGTAAAAAAGAAATCGTGTGATGGATAAATCAATACATATTACAACATTAGAATATGGAACACATCTACTACTTGACCTTAAAATTTAATCACATTAGATGTGCCTTCATCATTCGTTCTTTTGGCCTAATCGTTGTAGACATGTCCATTGTGCATTCAAATTGCAGGATCATGATCGTTTTCCTTTGTAGATATTTTAGGTAATGCCCTTTGATGTTGTGATGTCTGTCGAATTTCATGGTTACACATTGGTAGTACCATTCTCCGGGGCTGTTGTCACAGTTAGCCCCTTGTTACGATTATTAGCCATCAAATGTCAGAATGAACACAAGATTGAGTGAAAATGCAGCCAATGAGAACTAGCGCTGCAGAGAAAGGGCTATAAGTTAGAGGTCAATCTTTTAAAGAATAAGCTCTTTTAGACCACATTAGGATGATGCCTACCATGGAGTTATAGTGAATAGAAGATAGCATAATTAAAACTCACAAAACTATAATCACTTTGATCATTCAGGTCAAAGAGGCATCTTTCATACACATTGCCCGAACAGCAAGAAAGCCACAGAAGATTCTACTTTGTGGATGGAGGAGGGACATTGATGATATGCTTGTGGTAAGTTCTTTCTGTTGATGCCCCTAATTTTTCTTTTTCTTCGCCTGAATGCTGCAGGTCTGGAGAGGAAGTCTACCCAAAGACTTTATTGTTCCAAAGTCTGCAGAAAGGATACTTTTTTGTGGTTGGCGGCGAGATATGGAGGATATGATTATGGTAATGAAACTTGATGTCTGCAATCATGCTCCCAGTACTTCGGGTGCAGTTCTAGTATACAAACTGATGATACTCATCTCAGAGAGCTTCCTGTTTTCCTATGCAGCTTCAAAATAGACTGCATTTCTGGATTCAAGTTTAAAAGTTTCAGAAGTAGCACTGCCACATCTACATTGCTGCTGTTAATTGATTATTAAATTTTGCTCTTATAGAATTAGATTCATGCATCTATGATTTGTAGGTATTGGATGCCTTTCTGGCCCCTAGTTCAGAGCTCTGGATGTTCAACGAGGTTGCTGAAAAGGAGAGGGAAAAGAAGCTCATTGATGGTGGCCTTGACATCAGCCGGTTGGTGAATATAACTTTAGTTAATCGTGAGGGAAATGCTGTCATACGCCGTCATTTAGAAAGCCTTCCTTTGCAATCTTTTGATTCGGTGAGCAACAAAGTATTTAGTGTCTCCTTTATAAATATCTGTAGTGAGGTAGTTAGAGGGATGGAAATTCATATATAAAGAAAATGATGACTCATGCTATATGTGAAATGAAATGATCAACATCAACCGGACCTGCCATTGGAAAGAACCGGCTGGCTAAGTTTTCTATCTTATTGGGGTATCGTTTCTGGGCAGTGATATTATTTTACCATCTAAAATGTGGTAGACCAGTTAGTGACAATTACTTAACCTTCATTGGTGTCCGTGTGTAGGGTCTTTACTTTTCTGTGACGTTTATGATAATTACTTAAACATGTCTAAATCATTTCACAGGTTAGACATGTGCTCATCTAGTAATTCATCTGTACAGATCTTAATTTTGGCTGATGAGTCTGTGGAAGACTCAGCAATCCAAGCTGATTCCAGATCTCTTGCAACATTACTTTTAATTCGTGATATTCAGGTACTTGCGATTTGATTTTGGAGTGCACCATTAAACTACTGGTACAATTAACTTTCTAAGAATTATTTCTTCTATTGTCATAATTTCTCGGACATTATACTCTTAACCTGTTTTGATTTTGTTGGTAAAATACTTTATTTTTCTTTTATTTTTTGGGGGGGTGGCGGGGAACTGTGGGGGGTGTTTGTGATCCTGTTCTAGAATCATCAGTCTGGACATGACTGAATGTGAAATGAGAAAGCTAGCATCCAACAAATCTGGGTATTGATATTCATTGTTTTGTTCTATTCAACTTGCCACTTTTAGCTTTCATTATTAGTGTAGAGAATGAGAGAATGGATGATTTTTTATTTATTTATTCTATTTATCTATTTTATTTTTTGCTTACATTGGAAGTTATGTAATAGCATTGAGATTCAAGTAGAATTATATTTTTCTTTTGTATCATCAAAGATTTAATTTTCTTGAGGACTATATGTGAAGATATCATACTGGTTGCCGAGGAGATTCAGGTTATCAATTTTCATTGTTTGTCTATCTTCAGTTCCAATCCTATATACTTGTATTATTCAAATTTCCAGGCTAAGCGTCTCCCTATGGTAACACATGTTCAAAGAGGAAGCTTCTCACAAGGCTCATGGATAGGAGAAATGCAGCAAGCTTCAGATAAGTCAGTTATAATTAGTGAAATTCTGGACCCAAGGACTAAAAATCTATTATCCATGTCAAAGATCAGCGATTATGTGCTATCGAATGAGCTCGTAAGCATGGCATTGGCCATGGTGGCTGAGGATCGGCAAATAAATGATGTGTTGGAAGAGCTGTTTGCAGAGGAGGTATTCTTCTCTTTGTTACATATGATTCCATTCCTTGCAGTAGTACCAGAATTTTATTTGCAGTCAAAATATACTTCACATGAGGTCTCCCTTCAAACTGTCCACTAGAACATGTCACTTGATTCCAATGATCAATCATAACATTGTGAAATGGCTTCCCGCTGTGCCTTTTCCAACATTTGTTATCCTGCCCTTGGTAGTTTAATAAATTTCTGGGGTAAAACAGTGCAGTTGCCAGATTTTACTATTTAGGATAACTCCTCAATGGAGCCCAAGTCACTAACACACACAGAGCAGATTTCCTTTTACTATGAAAATGGAAGTTGTGACGGTTACAACCGAATATTTTTTGTCTCTCTCTGCCCAATTATCTTGGCGTTTTGCTTCCAAAGGAATTCTTCTGTAAAAACTAACTCCTCGTATCTTAATCCAAGCATTCAAGTTACTAAAACCAAGCATCTGTGAAACCTGCTCCAAGTCCCAAACGGTATCAGACCTCAAGTTTGACCAAGTATAAACTGCTTTCAGTAAAGCAGTAGGATCACCCAAATTAGTGTATTGGATAAAATCGTTAAAAACCCTGTTGTTATAAATGGTTCTTTAATTATTGATGGAGGTGCAGTTTGTTCTTATAAGTGGTTAATTACTTATTTCACCAACCTTACCTTGTGTTTGATTTATCAGGGCAATGAATTGCAAATAAGGCAAGCAGATCTCTATCTCCGTGAAGGTGAGGAATTGAGCTTCTATGAAGTACTCTTGCGAGCTCGACAGAGGAGAGAGGTCATGATTGGTTACCGTTTAGCCAATGCTGAGAGAGCTGTCATCAATCCCCCATCCAAAAGTGAGAGACGGAGGTGGTCAGTGAAGGATGTTTTTGTGGTGATTGCGGAGAAGGAATGAAGCATTTCTAAATCAACAGTGAAGACAGTGTTTGAAATTCCATGTGAAATCGGGGATGATCTTACTCTTTTCCGTTGCAAAATGCCCATCTGACTTTGGAAGTAAGAGAAAGCGAAAAGAAAAAAAATCCCTTACAGACCCACTGTGCCAAAAACTAACCTCAAAGTTTTCAGATCAAATGGTCACTACCAGTAGAGATTAGCGTACTGGCTGCTGTACATTATGCTCCCATCGATCAGTGAGTGCTTTACAGTAGCCGATGCTATGGGATGTTGCCGTCGGAACCAGGATGAATTCATATTTGAGGGTGTTTTCCGTGTTCAACATGTACATGATTTTATTTTTGGCCATGTTCCTATAGTTTGAGCAATGTTTCATTCTAGTCCTGTAGTTTCAATTTGGGACCTTTTGTTTAAGCTCAATAAATAGTTTACTAATGTGGTATATAATAACATCATTTTATAAGATCAATAACTAAAATATACGATATGATTTTAGGGCTTTTCATTAATGGGCACATTTTAGCATGACATACAATTACCCATATATAGCCTATTTGGAGGGAAAAACTCAAAATTAGCCACTTTTCGGCCAGCCACCTACTCTGACAGAAAATTCTGGCCACCATTCGCAGACGGCAGCTTTCCAGTGGCCGGCGACAAATTCCAACCAGTAGCTCTACAATTCTACATAAATAGATCAATTTACAAGTTATAAACCTTAAAACCTCTCTCTCTATATATGTTTATATACACACACATGAAGCTAATGATGCACAATACAAAGTATACAATGCAATACAAACTACAACGAAATGGCTGAAACAGATATTTACACTGTAATGTAGTGTGCAAAATATGATACGCTGCATGATAAATATCAAAAGGTAAACTATTTTGAAATATACTTGCATATTCGCGCATATGCACGACTAGCATAAAAATATAAAAAAATGCAATATTAATGTCTAAAATATTATAGGCATTGCGTATAGTCACCAAAATGTAACTATTGGAATAACAAACACATATTAGCGCATGCGCACATCAACTAACAGAAAAATAGATACTGCAATGTAGTGTTTGAAAATATATAGACACTGCAACGTAGTGGGGCTAGAACTTATTTAATGACCAAAACAACTTTTGTGGAGCTAGAAAAATTTGAAAAAGCTTTTTTGGAACACAAATTCCTTTATTTTATGACTCAAAATTTAAACAAAAACACACAACAACAAAGTTCCACACCTCCAAACCTAAACTAAGCATTGTCCTCAATGGGTAAAGACACGGGAGTAATGCATGCAATGACAAAAATTGGAGTTGCACCAAAATTTGATGTGATTAATTACAAGTAGTCAATATCGGAAGATTAGGTATATGAGTTGTGTTCCTTACCATCAACCCACTCTCTTCCAATTGGCTATGTAATTTATGGTACTTGTTACAAGAAGTTATTTATTAGGAATCTCCTTCCGTCTCAACCTAATTCTTCTAACCATGCAATTAGTGGTCAATTAATTGAAATCATTAAAAACGGTAACAAACACTCAACATGTATAAATAAATAAAAGGCTTATTTATATACATGCCCCCTGTGCTTTCAAACTTGTCTCAAATTACCACCTGAGCTTTGAAACGTCTCAAAATACCCCCCACACTTTTAAAAACGATCTCACGTTACCCATTTCGTCAATATTATAGACGTTCCGTTACGTGCTTTGGGCCCTACTTCGTTTCAATCCTTAACATTGGAGAATAAAAGTTTTTCAGCTTCAGAAAAGGGGAAGGGGGTATTTAGGTGAGAAGGGGAAATTTGGAGAAGAAGGCTAGGGCTTATCATGTAAGGTGGTGTTATAACAATACCATAGAAGAATAAATAACTATAATCTACCATGTAAGGTGGTGTTATAAAAATGGAGGAATTTTAGACTCACATTAAGGAACCCATGAAGGAAAATATCAAGGACCCTCTTAGAAGGGTCAGGTTCGTGCATTGTCAGATTCACCAAGAGCCTCAGATCATGAGCACTTTCAGGTACAAGGAGATTCAATGCATTGCTTCCACCCTTATTGATCTGCTCTCTTTTCTACTCCTCTGTCATCCCAACCCCACAACTCACAACCACAACTTTCTCCACCAACTTTGGATACATCTCAGCCATCCAATATGCCACATACCCTCCATGACTTATAGAGTATACAGCAAATCTCTCCACCCCTAATCTCTTCAATCCTTCTGCCACACATTTTGCTTGGAAAACCTCTGTCCTTTCTGGCTTGTTGGCGTAGGATTTGCCAAAGAACAATAGATCAGGTATGTACAGATTGAAACTTTGAGAAAGTGAACCTACTTGATGGATGAATTGCCACTTTGAATTGCCACCATACCCATGAAGCATTACAAAAGAAGGCTTTTGATAAGCTCTAGCCTTCTTCTCCAAATTTCCCCTTCTCACCCAAATACCCCATTTCCCCTTTTCTGAAGCTAAAAAACCCTTATTCTCCAATGTTAAGGATTGAAACGAAGTGGGGCCCAAAACATGTAACAGAACGTCTATAATACTGACGGAATGGGTAACATGAGATCGTTTTTAAAAGTGTGGAGGGTATTTTGAGACGTTTCAAAGCTCATGTGGTAATTTGAGACAAGTTTGAAAGCATAGGGGGCATGTACATAAATAAGCCTAAATATAATAATGATATCAAAGAATTTGAGTATTCATAGCTAGGCTACATCGTAGTCCTAGTAAAAATAAATTAGTTCATGAAGGATTTATTGGGAAACATGACGATTGATGAAGACATGAGAGGCACCGAATTCTCCAAGTAGAACACCAAGGTTGTGCGAGCTCTCTTCCTATTATCCTTAGGGTGTTTTGGCTATGAGTATGAAGTGTGTAAGGATCTTTTTACAATGGATGAATCTCCTTATTTATATTACTAGAAATCCTACATATCTAAGGTATAATTACAATTATTATAAAATAGGATACCTATTAATCTAGGGTCTTCTTGATTTCTCCTTGTTTGACATGGTCAGATTTGAACCATCTTCAATTAGGAAATTTGACAACATTCCTTGTGAAATGAATGATTGGCTTCTTTCCAATTAATCTCTAATCTTCCTCTTCTTACCACTTTTTAGCTCAATTTCTCTTATTTCCACAATTCCTTCACAAATCTCACAAAGCAAATTAAAACAAACAATTTAAATCAAGGATAAAAATAAATAAATAGGTAAAATAGCCCAAAAATGTATATAAAATATAAGCTTATCAGAAAAGTACCGCAACTTCAATATGGTTTTATTGTTTCTTCCTTATGTAACTTATGCCGAATTCTATGACTATGTGTAATTAAGTTTCTTTTGCTAGGGCATAATGCAACTCTAGTATGATAATCTAGTTTTCTTATTTTGTCTATCTATTGATTGTTGTTTGATGTTGGATTCTTAATCACTGTGCTTAATAACTTGATTGATTATCTTGATGCTTGATCACCATCTAGATTTTTAATTGAGTTTATCTTATGAAAATTAGCATAGCCGACCTTGGGCCAGGGCTACCAGGGCTACAGCCCATGGCCCAAAGTTGAGGGGGGCCCAATTGTTTTTTAACGCCTATGTATATGTGTATGTAAAAAAATAAAAAATAATAATAAAAGAGAGAAGCCAAACCGTACAAGTACCAAAGAGGAAGCCAAATCAATCTTCAATCACTTTTAATATTCTCTCAATCTCAATAAACATATCAAGGAAGGAAGCAAAGTTAATTATTATTTATTAATTATATAATATAATATAAACAAGGATCGAAAAAACATGGAGAAATCAAGTAATCAACATACCTTCTTAGCCATAAAAAGAAGAGAAAAAAATCCAGCGAAGAAGTTCATAATGCAAGCAATTTATTTATTTATTTTGGTGATTCTCGTCTTCTCCAACACATAGTTGGAAAACAAATCATCCACAAGCTAGAAGGTATTTTTATATAAATATTTATAGATAGATATAGAGATCTAAATGCAATTTCTTTTGTAAATTGTAATACATATCTTTATTAACTTTTTTATTTATTATTTGATTCAACAGAAAACTTGGTTGGGATTCTTGTGCTTTATAATTAGAAGTTTCAAGTTGAAGAAAATATGCTTAAAATCCAGGTTTTATTGTTCTTTGTTAATTAGTTTTATTATTTTTTATTGTGTTGTGTTTATTATAAAAATTAAAAAATGTTTCCTGAGAAACAACTTTATGAAAATCTCAAGAGACAAAAAAAGAAGAAATAAGAAATTGCTCAAATTTTAAGAGGATCATTGAATAAATATTTTGTTAAACCAATCAATGCTTCACTTGAAAATTTAGATGGAGATTTACCAAATGAATATGAACAACCAATTTAATTGGAAGAATTAGCAGAAAATGAGAATGATGTGAATGAAGAAGTTGGTGATCTAGATGAAAATGAAAATATTGATGAACTTTTCCATGATGAAAATGAAAATATTGATGAACCTTGCCATGGAAATGAATGTCCCGTAATCAGATTTGATTTGAACATTTATGATCCACGAGTTTGGGGTAGTTTTGATCCATTGTGGAGGATGAAAAAAAGATTGATAAAATCAAGAAATGCTTACGGAGATTGGGGAGGAAGCATGTAGACTCAAATATGTAGTTTTTGTGTTTTGAATGCAATGTTTACAATGCGGGGTACTCTTTTTCTTTCGTTTGGAGTTTTGTCCCATTGGGTTTTTCCTAAATAAGATTTTAATGAGGCACCAAAGTGTTCTTCCTTATCTTTTGTAAATTCTTATAATTTTAATAAAATTAATTAGTTAATAAATATATTTTTAAAATTTTAGTATTTAATTTGTATAAAAGGGCACACTTAAGAAAATTTGCCCTGGGCCTTAGAAAACCTAGGACCGGCTCTAAAATTTATAGTAAATGCCATACTTAAGTTGAGGCTACTTCTTGTGATTAAGATTTGTAATTCTTTTAGAGTAAATACCATGCTCATAGGGTTTACATGCTTGTTAGAGGTTTTCATTGATCTTAATACCATAGGCGAATTGCATGTAGAAATATTTAGGTTAGCCTAAATACCATAGGTAATTTATGAAAAAGAAAAACAAAGCGGCAACATCAATTGGTTAGTTAATAGATAGGTGAATAAGAGACTATACATTGCATTACTAGTGGTGAATTCATTGTCCTAGTGTTTTCATCAATTTGAATGTATTGTCTTTGTGTGCTTTGATTTTTCAACTCATTTTGTCCTTTAATTTCGTTGTTTTAGTTTATTAAATCACTCATTCAAAAACCCCATATGTGTTTACATGAGAATGCTATATGTTTGATTTCTTGTTTATATTAATTAGATTAGTTAGAGTGTTTGTGAAGTAAATTAGGTTAAATTAATTTGAAGTTAAACTCAATCTTAGTGGGAATGACCTCATCCTTGCCATGCTAAATTACGATTGATCTTGAGCACTTGTGAGTATAATTTGTGTTTAGAATAAAATATGTTTTCGTGTTATCTAAAATTTACAATAGTCTGTTGTTCTGTTAAGGTGGTTAAAGTTTTGGCTTCCGCCCATTGGTGAAGTAGTCAACATCTATGATGGCATGCTTCGCTCCTCAATTTCCCTTAATTTAAGGCCCGATCAGTTCAATCCCCTACTGGGCGAATGGCTAGGGCATGTTGATAATCGTGAGTGGTTTGGGAGGTTAATGACGGACTGTCGCCATGATTTGGCATTTGTTGCATTTTCGGACAAACTCTTTAGCATTGGTTTTCATGGTCGCCTAGAAGTATCATTGCCTTAAGGTTCAATGCACAAGTGACCTTGCCCTGAGTGCAATCCACATAGAGCTTCGTGTAGCTCCTTTACGACCAAGTCTCCTTTGTTAGGTGCTAAACATCTCTTAAGTGGCGATAAGTACCCTCGCCGTAGGTGGGATATTTAACCAAAGTAAATGCTGACTCGCCCCATAAGAGTATACTCTTTTCCTACGAGTCCGACTAAAATGGTAGCAACAAGTTTCATTACACTACTAAGGTCGTGCATATATGCTCATAAGCCTGGTAAAAGAGTAGGTTCAATGAGTTACATGTGTCAATGAGAATATGGCTAAGATCGTAGTTTCCGATGGTCGTTGTGATGACCAAGGGTTCATCATGTAGAGTTACCGCATCTCTTGCTTCCTCCTCTCTGAAGGTTATGGTTCCCCAACATCGATTTAGGTGTTTACAAGCGATGCCCTGTCCTAAGGATAAGCCTTCTAACACTTGGTGCATGTCGCGAGCATATTCTTTTCGCGCTCTATTGGAGTCCCTTGTCAGGGTGTGGCCGTTAGAAATGGGTAGGATTGGGGGCCCTGTTATGTTTATGGAGGTCAACCCTACCATTGGTGGATCGATCCATTGTTGGGGGATTTATGCGAAATGGGAAATCTTGGGGTTTCCTTGGCAAACAAGTTGTTCATAGTTCTTTCTCAACTCTTAGCATTTTTCTGTAGTATGACCATTGTCATGATGGTAAAAAATAGTGTTTCTTAGGATCTTTGGATTTTGTCCTCATGGGATGAAGAGGTGGGAGTTCATTTTGCACTGCCAGAAACACTTCAACTCGCAAGGGTCAAACCCATTAGGCTTTTGTGTTAAAAAGATATGAATTTTATTTTGGTTTGATTTTATGATACGGGAAACTACACATCCCAATATTTCTAACACTATAAACCTCAGGGAAATAAGTTTTTTAATTTATTTATTTATTATCAAATATAAACTTCAATAGTACAATCAAAGACATCAACAAGCCATCGAAAGTACCAATCCACAAAGGGCAACAAACTAACATGTTAAAAACAAAACTAAAGCGGACAAAAGCCGCATTAAAACTACTAGCTCACATCACCACAATTAACCATAAGCCCAAATAAAGCTCACATACCCAACATAACCTAAACCTTAAACCAATCCATGAGCCTAAGTGAACCCTGCAACCACCACTTGAAGAAGCGTCATCGCTACCACACCCATCACTGCATTCGTAATAGATTTTGGGAAAATATAGTTTCCAGTGATCTACCTGTGTATAAGAGCGAACAAATAAATGAAAACAACAATCTTGAAAAAGAACAATTAGGTGATTTGCAATAACCTCTGTCAAAGACGATGGAGACCTAAATTTAGAGAACATGAGTAGTGTTAGAGAATGAGTTTTGGGAGAATGATTTGTTTGAGAACGCCTAAAAGGGGTGATGGAGAACTTCAATCAAAGCATTACTCAGAAGAAATCACCACAAGGTGGGTTCTTATTCAAAATGCCTCTCTGTGAAGTTTTTCTTTAGGACTCACAAAAGGAGGGAATAGCTAGAATTTTTTTGTTCGTATAATTTCAGGGAAATAAGTTAGGTTGTGTATGTAGGTTGTTATGATTTTTAAAAGATGAACGTGGCAATTTCCGTTGTTGATTTTAGTAAACGACTCATGTAACGATTTCCAATTGACCTAAAATTTGAGTATGTTGGATTTGTACATATCTAGTATTCAAATCACCCTCCCCAAGTATCAACTTACTGAATGAATACACCCTCTTAATACTCGAATATCACGTGTATGTAAAAGAGAAATAAAAAATTCAACGGAATACACCCCCTTAATTATTTCTATGGAATCTCTCTAAAAAAAGAGATAAATAAAAAAAAACTCATTCCTACGGGATGTAAAACTGCTGTCTTTGCTTTTCTGTACTTCTAAACTTATTGTGGAGAAGGAGAGAGCGACAGACAGATAAAAGAGAGAAAAAGAGAGAGTTAAGCTTACGCGGTGGTTACTTCCCGCAGAAGGTTCTCTGCGTTTGTTTATATATAAATATTAGATATATTACAGAGAAAAAGAGTAAAAAAATAATTATTATTATTATTATTGCTGAAGAAGGAAGAGGTAGAGAAAACGTTGACGGCAGACTGCTATAATAATGAACGTAACAATATATATCGCAAGGGGTTTCGTGGAAACCTTGTGCTGATGCTACAGTATTCAAAAGCGCCTTTCTTGACGAAATCCCTTTCGATTACCTATCTTGGCGTCTCAGTTCAAGCTTTTCGCTTTAGCTCTTTTGTCAAAGTCGTCGAATCTTTAGTTACTCGATATTTGGTTTGGGTTTTGGCTTTTGCTTGCGCGGTGGACCGGTGGTGATCGTGAAGGATTTGAGGGCTTTCTCGAGAAGATTTCTGCTGGGATTTGGGCTGCTGTTGATGAATTTGGTGGTACGTCGGTGAAGAATTTGGGGTCTGATTTTTTGCGTGGGACACTTGGAATCGGGGGAATTTTAAGGAATTCATTATGGGTTCGTAATGATTAGGGTTTTGTAAGGATTGAAGTTGAGTGGTCGGTATTGCTGATATAAAGTCTGCGTTTTTGTTTTTTATCAAAATAAAGTCTGCGTTTTAGGTTGTCAATGCTGGGTACAATCATTGATTTTAATTTTTTCCCCGATAAAATCTTTTGTGGGTTGTTCAGAATTGGTTAAATTTGGAGGTGGGTTTGTGATAATTTGGGGTTTTATCGAGGCTTAAGATCTAAAAATCGGGAATTTCCACTTGGTTGCAGGTTATTATTGAAAAGTAGCGGAATTCAAATTCTTGGGGTTGTTTCATATCTGGTGGTGAGCTCTTATTCAACCATTTGGGCTTAGAAATTACTTTGTGTGTATAAGGTGGTGTTGATTGTGTTTCTTGGGGCTTTGTGGTTGAGAGTCATTACTTTCTGGATAAGATGAGTTCTACCATCACTGAAGGTTTGGTTAATCTGGGCAAGCTTTTGGTGCATATTGCTGAGAATGGGCACTCATTTGAGCTCGATTGTGAGGACACCACACCGGTAGAGGCAGTTATGCGGTATATTGAATCTGTGGTGGGGATTAATCTCAATGACCAGCTTGTTCTGTGTTTGGATATGAAGCTTGAGCCACACCGGCCACTTTCAGATTATAAGCTTCCAGCTGATGGTCGGGAAGTATTTATATTCAATAAAGCAAGACTGCAAACTAATTCATCCCTCCCTTTGCCTGAGCAAGTTGATATTCTTGAGATTGCCGAACCCCAATCACCATCAGCTTCACATGACCCTCACCCTTTGGATGATGCTTTGGACCCTGCTTTGAAAGCTTTGCCTTCTTATGAAAGGCAATTTAGGTACCACTACCACAAGGGTCATGCAATTTACACTAGTACCCAAGTGAAATATGAGAACTGCGAGCGGCTCTGGAGGGAGCAAAAGGTTCAAGAAAGGGCAGTGGAGGTTGCAAGGGGCAATTTGGACCAATACTATAGGATGATAAACCAAAACTATACAGAATTCATGAAGCGTTATTCTCAACAACATAGGATTCATTCTGATCTTTTGGTGAATCTTGGGAGGGATGTAGACAAACTGAGATCCATCAAGCTTCACCCTGCATTACAGACTGCCACTCGTAAGTGCTTATCGGATTTTGTCAAGGAAGAGAACTTGAGGAAAGCGGGAGAGAGTTGTAGCAGTTCCCACAGGCAGTTTGAGAATAAGGTTTCACAGTTCAAGCAGATATTTGGTGAGGTGAAGCGAAAAGTCGAGGAATTGTTTTCTAATAGGGCTTCTTTGCCTATTAGGAATTTGGATCTGACGATTAAGGAGCACCAGCGATATATTACTGAACAAAAGAGTATAATGCAGTCTTTGAGGTTAGATTCCTTTCATTTGTTGTCATATTCATGTACAGTATATATATCTTGTTTGTTTGTCTGTCCAATTTCCTTTGCCTGAGTCCTTCTGGAATGTTTTGGAGTTTCCTTCTGAATGGGCTTATTTTCTTTTTTAAAACGAAAAGATGAAATTATTTTCCAGAGATTGGAATTGTTGGTGTGAAGCCCCTGGAGTGATTCCCACCTATCTTTATTGTTCTATTTTCTGTTTTTAATTGTTTTGCTACTTAAGCCTACAATTCACCCATATCCTACACCACTTAGCTTGAGTGCCCATGTTTTTGGGGTATACAGTACCAGTAGATGGAATTGAAAAGAAGGGAGTTAGTGTAGACGCTCGTGCCGAGGAGTGGAAAATAAACTTGCGAGCATTTGTGTTTTTTTTTCTTTAAGCAAACGATTGCCACTTAGGTAAGTGCTTAATGTAATTGAACTAGATGAATTAGGTTCCAAAGTCATAAGGCGGTGGAGTTTTCATCTGAAGTCACTTTATCATTTTCACAAGATAAACTTCCTTCTATACTTTAGCTTCAATACTTTCTAAAGACTTACTAACAAGATTCCATCTATTTTGTTTTCAATGTATGAACTACGTACATCGACCTACAAACAGGGATAGGAAAGTTGTGAAGATATGAGAGGAACTTTTTGTTATTAGTGACTATCCTTTTGAGTATCATAACATTCAGGAAGTGATTATTCTTGTAAATTTTTATATGCCTGAACTTCTTTTTGGTGAGGACATTTGATGTGGTGGTTTTAGCAATCTGATGTAGTTGTTCACCTGTAACAGTGGAGTCCTATCATAATAGATAAGAAGTATACCAGTTCCTAAACCTCCAAGACTATTTAAAGCTTTCTGAATGTTATGGTCTTTGGAACCAAGCTTCTCATTTTGCTTGAGTTAAGCCAGTTGGTGATGTAGGATATGGGTGAATTGTAGGCTTAAGTAGAGTAGCGGAAGCGAACAATGAAAAACAGAAAATAGAACAATAAAGATAGGTCTGGAATCACTCCAGGGGCTTCACACCCGACCTTGGCTTCACACCAAGAATTCCAATCTCTGGAAAATAAACTTTTCTCATAACTCAACAACTCTAACCTCCATAATGAATTACATAGTAGGGGTATTTATAATAATCTAACCTTAGAGTGAAAAGGAAAATTAAACTTATTCTAGGAAAGAAATCCTAATCTAAATAAAATAAGAAACTTGGAAATCTGGAAAAACGAGAAATCCTACTGAAATCTGGAAACTTAGAAAACAAGTTAGAAACTAATCGCAGGAATAAAAAAAATTACTAGATTTAAAGACCAAATTAAATGATTTCCTCTTCCATCTCTTTCTTTTGTAAATCCTAATGGGTTTGACAAAGATGTCCTCATCAGTTGGAATCGTGAGATTCTGGATAACACTTGTGTTTTCACTGCTGCACTTTGATATGTAATTTTCTGCCTTGAATTGTTGCATTAGTTATATTATTTTTAGAATATTACTAATGCAATCAACTGATTATAATTTATGCAGCAAAGATGTAAATACTGTCAAGAAACTTGTGGATGATTGCTTGTCTTGCCAATTGTCTTCGTCACTTCGTCCTCACGATGCAGTTTCAGCCTTAGGCCCTATGTATGATGTCCATGACAAAAATCACCTGCCTAGGATGCAGGCCTGTGATCGTGCAATTTCCAAGCTGCTGGACTTCTGCAAGGATAAAAAGAATGAAATGAACATCTTTGTCCATAATTATATGCAAAAGATAACATATATTTCTTACATCATCAAAGATGCAAAGTTACAGTTTCCTGTTTTTAGAGAGGCAATGGTGCGTCAGGAGGATCTATTTTTGGACTTAAAGTTGGTTCGGGGGATCGGCCCTGCATATAGAGCCTGCTTAGCAGAAATAGTAAGAAGAAAGGCTTCCCTGAAGCTTTATATGGGGATGGCTGGACAGTTGGCTGAAAGGCTTGCGACAAAGAGGGAGGCTGAGGTTAGGAGACGGGAGGAGTTTCTGAAAGCTCACATTTTGTACATGCCCAGGGATGTATTAGCATCCATGGGATTATATGATACCCCCAATCAGTGTGATGTCAATATAGCTCCTTTTGATACTGGCTTGCTTGATATTGACATTTCAGACCTGGACCGTTATGCACCTGAGTTCTTGGCAGGATTGTCTTCCAAGGGTTCGTTTAGAGGTTCATATTCTATGTCTAATGAAAGTTGTCATTCAGCAGAGGTTGGGGAGATTGCATTGGATAACCTTGAGAAATATGACTCTGAGGAGCTACTTGAAGGCTGTGAGTTGGTAGAGATTGCTGGAACTAGTAAGATGGAAGTTGAGAATGCAAAATTGAAAGCCGACCTGGCTTCTGCAATTGCTATGATTTGTTCATTCTGGCCTGAAGTAGACTATGAATCATTGGATGATAGTAAAATGGAAATTTTATTGAAGGATGCTGCAGAGAAGACAGCTGAAGCCTTGCAACTGAAAGATGAATATGGAAAGCATCTGCAATCTATGCTTAGGATGAAGGAGATGCAGTGTCTTTCATATGAGAAACGCATCCAAGAACTGGAACAGAGATTGTCTGATCAGTATTTGCAAGGCCAGAAGCTTTCAAATGATAAGGATGCCTCTGAATTTGCCCTTTTGTCTGATAAGGTTGATGATTGCAAGCAAGAAATGTTAGGTAGTAGAGAAGTCCATATGCCTTGCTTATCTAATACTGAGCCCATGGATGAGGTTTCTTGCATCTCAAATTCTCTGGATACAAAATTGGGTCTGTTCAATGCACAACCTGGAAAAATGCGAGATGGGGGAGATGAAAATATGATGGATTCTTCTGCAGTACAAAATCATCAAATGGATTCATCAATGCAAGAACTACATCGTGAAGAACTGCTAGCCAGGGCTAAAGATGTGAAAGATAAGATGGTGGGGCAGCTGGGCATGTCACTGACAAACAGTTCTACTGCTGAAAGCATGCCTGAACCTCTGAATGTCTTACCATGTGAAACAGCAATTGAGCCAGGCTTGGACAACAAAGTCAGTACTGAACTGTTGTTGGAATTGGAAAGTGCACTTGCAGATAAGTCAAACCAGTTGAGTGAAACAGAAATTAAGCTTAAAGCTGCTGTGGAGGATGTTGCGATGCTTAAGAGGGAATTGGACACAAATCGGAAACTACTTGATGAATCTCAGGTACTAGTGGATCAACCACATTTATTTTTTGGAGTGCTGCTTCCACCCACCTGTCCTATTTCTCCATACACTTTATTAACTCACCCTGTATTTAACTTCAAAACATTTTTATAATCTCTTTTCACACCCCATGATTTTGATAATACCCTTGAACCCCAAATAAAATATAATGATAATTAAAGAAACAGTTTGTTAATCTTGAATGGCTACTACAAAATCTGAGATGGTTATGTGATGTTATGTGAAGAGTTCAAAGTCCCATTATTGTATCTTGTCCCATGCAGCCATGAATTTCTTCAAGATCTCATACTTCTACAAATAAGCCTGTTTCATGATTCTCAGCATAGAACCTTTTTCAGTTGGGAGATCATATGACAACTATTGTTTTACATGTTGAAAAGTGTTCTTTACAGTCTTTTCATCCTTTGTTGTCAATATTGGTTTTCATTCTCTGGTGCACCCGTCTATGGCAACCTGCAGATCCCCTTTTTTTTTTTTTTTTTTTTTTTTTTTTTTTTTGTGTCTTTTATTTTTTATGATTTTTCTTTTTTATTTGTTTTTCTTGAATAAATAAGTTAGTTGTTTTCTTTTTTTTCTTTCTATTAGCTTTGCTGATTAGTTTGCTGATTTTACTTTGGAGGGATAAAGTATATTTTCATTTTTGTTATTCTTGATAGAAGTTAGTATTTAAAAATGCTAGATTATGATCCCTTGGCTCTTTGTTTTCCTTTCCTTACAAAAGAATGGTTGACTTTCATCCCCCTAGGGATTTCTTCCTTTTATTTAATTGTACGACAAAAATGTTTGATTATGATTATGCTGTTTACCCTATAAATTGGCACTAAACTACAACGTTGTGATAGATATCAAATGCAACAATAGAAGAATGTCATTTGATTTATATTTTGGCTCACAAGATCTCACTAGGGTTTTAAGAGCATTTAATGTACTAGAATGATACAAAATCCTTAAGAGTGTATGTTAGGGTTATGACCAGTAGGTTATCCATACATACTTATTGTAGTCCCCATATAAATATTTCAATTTATATGGAATCTGTTTAACCCAGAATTGGACCAGCAGGGGCCCTAGCCCCCACTTTTTTGTTTTCTTCTTTTTGGCAGGGCGAGAGGGAGTGGGGGGATCTTTATATTTACTTTGCTTTCTCATGACTTCTACCATTCTCTTTTTTTTTTTTTTTTTTTTTTTTTTTTTTTTTTTTTTTTGTTTATATATATTCTTTTTTTTATCTCTATGTATGCTCTTTGCGGGTTGCTTGCAATGTTGCTTTTTATGTTTAGGGTTATGTTAGTTTTACAATTTCTGGTCTTGTCAGTTAGCTGTTTAATGAAGCAACCTTCAAAAGTCAAGTTCTGGTATCGTCACTGTTAGAAGGGTTTATAGGGGTAAAAATAAAATAGTTGGCCAAAAAAGTGAGAACTATTTATCATGGTACGTCAATTCCTTGATGGTGTCGTGAAAATTGTAGCCATTTGAGAAACTCAATAGTACTGCAGACATGAAAGCGTTTTAAAATCCCCAGTTCAAAAGAAATGCAAGATGAATTGTGACTGACGGTGTCTCATCGAGTGATTGATGGCTGCATTAATTAAGCACTTCCACAGAACCGTGATTAGAGCTTATATTTTGTTTTATTATTTGTTAACTTCTCTGTATTCTGATTGTATATTATGTTTTGTCGTTGCCAGATGAATTGTGCTCACTTGGAGAATTGTTTGCATGAAGCAAGAGAGGAAGCTCAAACCCATCTTTGTGCGGCAGATCGCAGGGCCTCAGAGTATAGTGCTCTGCGTGCTTCTGCTGTGAAAATGCGTGGCCTTTTCGAAAGACTTCGGAGCTGTGTTTATGCTCAGGGTGGGGTGGCTAGTTTTGCTGAATCACTACGTACCTTAGCACAATCTCTGGGAAAGTAAGTTTGTTACGCCAGTCCTTGTTTTATCTGCCTTTAAAGTTTATTATTCTCATCGATGCTATATTTCCTACACTACATCTCATGCAACCTTGATAGCCTTTTGAAAGTTTGTTTTACATCAGTAGGACATTTCAATAAAATAACTAAAAGATTAAAAAATGCATTGGAAAATAAAACTAATAAACATTATAATGGAGGGAAGGTTATCTATGTTTAGTGGATATTTTTATGGATACTTCCATCTCATGAATATTTGGTTACACTCACGTCAAAAGGGAAAACAATACAGAGTATTTAGTTCTATTGTTGTTAATGGAGATGATAGTAGTTTTGGCCTTGATTTGTTTCAGTTCTATTAACGACAATGAAGATGATGGTACTGTTGAGTTTCGCAAATGTATTCGGGTCCTTGCAGATAGAGTTGGTTTCTTGTCAAGACACCGTGAAGAGCTACTGGACAAGTATCCGAAGGTTGAAGCTGCCAATGAACAACTTAGAAAAGAATTGGAAGATAAGAAGGATCTGGTTAAGACTTTGTACACAAAGCATCAACTTGAGAAGCAGGTAATTGATATTGGGATTTTTTGTTCAAAAAAAAATATATATATATATATATATATATAAATTTAGTAGTTTTCTTGACTTACCTGTTGTACAAGACACCTGTGCTTGTATCTTATTATGCTCTGTTGCATAATGGTCTTAATCTTTACCAGCAGATCTGGTAGTGAACATCTTAATGACTTAATTACTGTAAGATTTTGGATTACAATTTTTCATCTGTTCACGGTTTAGTGATTAGTGAACTTAGGCATCAACCATGACTGAATTCTGTTCTGGTTGAATGATCAATTAATAGGTTGTTATTGTACTTTAAATTTTGCTGCAGGCAAACAAGGAGAAGATATCTTTCAGCCGCTTGGAAGTTCACGAGATTGCTGCCTTTGTTCTTAACACAGCTGGGCATTACGAGGCAATCAATCGGAATTGCTCAAACTACTACCTCTCAGCTGAATCTGTGGCCTTGTTTACGGATCATCTCCCACATCAACCTAACTACATTGTTGGACAAATTGTGCATATCGAACGCCAGACTGTGAAGCCATTGGCTCCTACTTCAACCCGGTCTGAGTACGAGCTAACCTCTGACACAGGGACCGACCGGTTTACCTTGAATTCAGGATCGAACCCCTATGGTCTCCCTTTTGGTTGTGAATACTTCGTAGTGACAGTAGCAATGTTACCTGATACCACCATTCATTCACCACCTCCTTCCTGATCCCTGCTTTAGGCAGATTGACGTGATGGAAGAATTCCAAGTGTACATACGGATATTACTTTAAACAGTTATAATCCTTCTCGTGGGAGAATGGAACTTCATTTGCTCTCTGTACAGCTGATGATGCAATAGAATTTAATCTTCTCCTCCCACTGTGGGCTTTGTGTATATAATAGCCATTTCTATGAATATGTAAAAAATGTGAATATTAGTTCTTCTTTTTTTCTTTTTTTAATAGGGGTCTTTATCTACAAGCATGCTCGTTGGTTCACCCGGCTTCAAATCCAAAGCATTATTCAAGACAAGGTTATTTTCGGGGGCACGGCAAAGATGAAGTGTGTATATTTTCTTTTCTTTTTCTTTTTATATAATTTTCAGTGATGCCATTTAGTTTCTCCACCTACTTTTCTACAAAATTACTTAAAAGGCCATACAACTTTCACTCATTAGTGTCGTAGGGTTCAAACCTGAGATTATTGGGCTGCACGTTAAGGCCCATGTTGGCTTTCTGAAATTGATAGCTTGGAGAAAGAGCTTAAGAGCCTGAAGAATGCCAAATCTGAGAGTAGGAAGCGGGTTGGGAATTGGAGAGGAAGATTGGGGTTTTGGAAGTGAATGGCAAGAGAATTAGGGTTAAGGAGGAGATGAGGAAGAGGAATGATGAATACTACGATGAAAATACCCTCCAAATAGGGCACACGTTCGCCTCATGTGGTTGCGTTTGACGGATTATTAGATGAAATCCCATAAAATCTAACGACATGTGTGAAATTGGTGATAAGAATTAGTCGATGGGGTAAATTGGCTGATTTTTTAGTTGAGGGGGTCAAATTATACAGGAATCATAGTTCAAGGGGTAATCAAGACAAAAATGTCTCTATCAAACAAGATTGGCACCCCCATCCAATTTTCTTATCCATCTTATCTCCCCACCCACCATTTAAATTTGAAAAAACATAATATTATCTTTCCACCCACTATTATTCCTGAAATACCATTTAATTATTAATTCAATGAAATTCATTTTGCTAGTCTCTTCCTAATTCCCACCACCAGGAACTCATTCTCTTTCCTCGTCAACGTCAGGCTAGTGTGGTTCTTTACCCAGTATACCTCACTCAGCGACTGGACCTATCCCAAGGCAAACCTCAATGTCATTCCACCATCCCAATCAAAGGCTCCAATTCTCCAATTTCAAACTTGTTTGGAATTCTCAAATCCCGTCATGATATGATCCATATGTGCAGGCTGCAATTGGAGACAATATATTGGTATTGTTTCCAATTAATTGCAATACTCGCACAGAGAAAAAGAAAAAGACCAAATAACAAAATGAAAATGAAAACCCACTTCTTGTAAGCATCAAGAAGAAGAACTCATCGCACGTGCAATGGAAAATTACAATTTAACATCGAAACCCACCCTTGAGACTCCCCATTCTAAAGTTCCTTGAAATTCTTGAAATTCACATTCGTTTTCATGATCTAGAAGGTGTGTTAAAGGAAAGATAGACAAAGGAGCAAGCAACCTAGAAACCCAGAAAGTTTAGAGGAAGAAAGAACCATGTCTTTGGTGTTTGTTTATGATGAGAAGATGAGGGAGGAGAGGGAGGAGAAGAGAGAGACAAAGAGATAACGAATAACGTAGCAAACCTTGGGGTAATTTAAGATATAGTGCTCATGTATATAATTGCTCTCATGCATAAAAGCAATACTAGTAATTTCTGAAATTTGAATGTTTGTATGATGGTGAACATATGAGGCTACACATCATGCCCTAATACATATGTACGTGAATAAATTCTTTCATACAGTTGCAAAAGTTCTGATGTGGTTGTACTAGTGAGTTTTTTAAGTTATTCTTTTGGTCTTAAATAAGTATTGGAATACGTACAAATTAGTACAAATATATAAGCCATTATATAGCTGATCTTGTGTCCAAGATAGATCATGTTGTTTGTTGACGCTCGGCACACACTGAGCCCGTCTGTCCAATGAAAGCATAACACATGGATCTTGCACACCGATGACAAGACCTCATCTAACCACGAGTTTGCCACGCCTCATAAAGTGTGTTCATGTCCTCTCAAAAGCCACGTGTAAACCGTCTAACTCACCACCTAACCAGATGAGACTTCTACTGCATGTGGCAGGCTACTCTGCCCACACCCGCCCCCTAGTAAAAACGTTAAGTCATCATGAGAAGAGAACATGGGTGAACCTCAACCGTATGTCACCTGACAGACTTGATGTGACATGGATGGCTTAGCTCCGAGGCGAGATGACCGGCTCGTAAATTATCTTGTTTAATCTTCCTATAAATAGAACATGTGATGTTTGTAAAAAGGGGATCGATCTTTTTCTCTCTTCTAGGGAATCTTGAAACAAGAACAATATACGAGGAATACACAAAGAAAACCTTGTCCCTTATCCTTGTTCTTATTCCGACTCTCTTAAAACTTCTCACCTCTAAAAATTTGTGTTAAATCCTTGTATTGTCATACGTTAAGCCACAGGAATATTTGTGGGTTAAACATTGTTATTCAAGAGTTCATAGTGGGAACAATCGTTGTTCAATTGATGAATGCAATCGATTAGAAACTAGTTTAAAATTTACAATAGAAACATGCATATCTCGTGTTGTGGGTTAAAGAGCCTCAAGGCTTCTTGGGTTTAACACTACATAAAATTCGTTAACACTGTGTTTGGATGAGGTACTTAGAAATGGGATTTGGGGTGTGTGGAAGTTCCATATGGTCAAAACCTTTTTTTTTCCTATAAATAAATAACAAATTTTTTTTTTTTTTTTTTTTGTTTTTTTTTTTTTTTTTTTTTTTATTTAATTAGCAGCATTCACGTTGACATAGACAGCAGCAAAAAAACACAATATAATATTTATATCAAAGTTCATATATTAACTTTGATCTCAGACCTAGGTAGCTCATCTTCATATTTAAGTTCAAGAATCGAACACATGATTAGCCCCAAAAAAAAATTGAATAGAATATCTCCACATAAAAAATTATAATTATAATTATAATAAATAAATAAAAAAGAAGACAGAAACAGATGAAAATCGGGAGAGAGAAATTATAAACTGAACAACAACAACAAAAACTAATTTCATATTTATAAAAAATTACCCAATCAAATTCCATCAACAAAATAATTAGCCAAACAAGTGACCTTACTAATCTCACCACTTTGGAGTCTCCGCACTTCACTTCAAAATCCTATTCAATTAGGATTTCAGAGAATTTTGCTAGACTTTAATTAAGTGATAGATTTTATGGATTTCTATGTACTCATTAGGATTTCAGAGAATTTTGCTAGACTTTAATTAAGTGATAGATTTTATGGATTTCTATGTACTCATGTACATTCCACATGGACTTTGGGAGAATCCTATAGACTCCTACTACATTTTTTCATGGATTTGTATTACTTTATTACAGACTTTGGTGATTTTTTCCGACGTATAGGATGTGATGATTGTGGTGGTGGGGAGGAGGAGGTGGTGATGTTGGTTGTGGATGTGGTAATTGGGAGGAGTGGTGGTGGTGGTTGTGGTTGTGATGGCGGTGGTTGTGGTTGTGGTGGTGGTTGTACTCATGTACAAGTTCAAACAGAATTCCTAGTTTACCCTCAAGAACTACAAATCTCCACCACAAAAAACTCAAATCTTTCGAACTACGTTCAATTTGATCCCGCCAAGAGTACATAGGCAATCTAGATACTCAATCTAGATGCAACAGCAAAAGCACAAAAACAAATTGAATCCTTGGTCCAACCACATTCATCCAAATTCCATAAATATTTTCCACACCACAAATTCTTTCAAGGGGTCATTCACTCTTTGAAAGTCCAATAAAATTCTCCAAAGAATTATGAGTGGCTTGGTATCCCTCGAAAGGGATACGTAGGCAACCTAGGGTCCAACCTAGGTATAGCCATAAACTCAAACACATACAAATCCCCCAAATGTAATTTTATCCATGTTGAAATCAAAAAGTGTTCTCTTTTTAATAAGAGAGTGTAATTAAAGGACACATTGTCTTGAATGAGTCGTACCTAATATAATAAAACTCACGTTGTAAGGAACGAGAGTGAAATTATGTTAGGTGATGGTTCATACAAATTACTTGTGCAATTTTTACCTAACATAGTTCGCACTTCGCACGGGATAATCATAAGAAAATACACTGAACTGAATAAGCACCAAAGGCGGCCAAAACCTTAATTGACATTTAATTGGTTAACAGAATTTACAAACAGAAATATATTTTACGCTGTTTATAGGTCATGAAGGGGAACAAACGAGTACAACACTACGCACAACACCTAATCGGTAGATTTTTACATTGGGCAGATTTTAGGATTCTTCATCAATATAAATTTCCGAATCCCGAAACTTCCCAAGATATAATGCAAAGCTTTGTGACAGCAAATAACATTAAACAGCCAGCATATTTTCACCGCGGGTACATGTGCGAAAGACGGTTGAGAGAGGGAGGGCGAAGAAAAGTTCTCTATTCAGCTTGCTTGCTGCGGATTTCTGCAATGTTAACTAAGACATCTATCTGGCTTGGCTCTCGCAATCTTCTTCTGAAATGTTGAACAAGACTTTCGGAAGCGAGGGAAGCGAGGGAAGTGAGGCAATGCGAGGCAGATGAAACAGCAGCTCCCCAAAGGAGTCTTTCCTTGACATGCCTGTTGCCTTCTTCCCACCAGAAGCATCCTTCGTATCATCTTCAGGATCCTTTGTATTGGCTCCAGATTTATTATCAGGAGTATGATTAAGCTGAGCATCACTTCCACCATCTTGTCCTTCACCACTACTTTCACCATCAACCATATTCTGAACTGAACCAGGGTCCTTCTGCAGAAGGCAACAAAGAGAATTGACCCTTGACATGAGGGATTTCTCATCTGAGGCTGCTGTAAATTGATTGTCGCTGAGCAGGTATTGTGCAATGTCCTCGAGCATGTCTTGGTATTCTGACTGTTGGTCAGCAGAAGACGGATTTCCAGAAGTCATTTGTTCTGAAATACAGTTCCCAATATGACTCACAAGATCACTCATCGACATCGCTGGATGAAGTCCAGGCACTTTCATTTGTACACAATTTTTCGGCCCCCTGGAATCAACAGCTCCAGAACTTCCATTTCCTTCAATTGCATGAGCATCCATAACTAATATGAGAAAGTCAATCAGTGATTCAGTGATCAATGGGTCTACTATGCAAATTACTTTGACTGCTGACGCCTCTAATGGCATACGCTAGACATCAAAAATTTATATATGGACAATCATTTGAACGATATGTCTAACAAATCAAATAACCAGACTTTCATGGAAAACTATAGCCTGTAAATAGATGAGAAAGTGAGCACGAAAAGAGTTGCTCCCTGCCTTATTACTCATGAGTTTCCGTTCTTCAAACAAGTTCCATTGAGATTTAAGGGGTAATCTGGAAATCTAATACTTACGAATTCTACAATTTTTGAATTAAAAGTGTCAATTAAGAAAGGGACGATGTGTATACTATTTAAGACATCCAATAACCCTGCCCATTGTACCACTTAAGTCTAGATTTCCATCTCCGAGTGTCAAAAATAAAAAATAAAAGCTCAGGTGCTGTTTAACATCATGGTACAAGAGGTGCAGAACAATTAAATTGAGAAGCAAATAAAACGAAAGGTGATCCTTATCAATATTTTGCTAGAAATTAATGCCAAGTTCATTCATTATACCTGAGCTGGGGGAAGGCGCTTCTCTGGACTGATGTTCCAATGCCATAGAAGCTGTATCCTGCTGATCGATCTTCAAAGAAGATGATTGACTGGCAGATGGTGATGCTACATCTTGGAACCCAGAGACGGAGGAACCGTTACCATTTCCCAGTGGATCAAAACCATGGTCTTTGGATTCTGGATCTTCAAAAGCAGAAGACCGTGGTTCAAAACATGGTGATTCCAAAACAATTTCTGGCTGTCGGCTTAAGAAACAAAGCCGCGTGTCGCACTGGATAAGCTTTTCAAAGTGTTTGTTTAACAGTCCTTGTGGACATTGCAGAAAATGTTGCCTATAAAACCACAATGCCAAAGTTTTTGCATAAATCTCACAGCATCAACTGAACATGCGGCTGATGCAGCTTCAAACAGATTGAAAACAAATGTCTCTTCACAACATGTCTCAAACATGCAATTTAATTATTTAAAAATCCATGTCAAGATAGAGTATTTTCAGTTACAACATCTCCCAGTTTAACAATTTAACAAGTATTTGGGAAAACATAGTTTATTTGTCAATAATAGGTGGAAAACCTGAGACATGAATAAAAACAGGGTAAAAAGAAACACAAAAGGCCAACAAATACCAACGGCACTCAACAATTAGACACTAAAGAATATCACCAAGAAATCATTTCCTTTGTCTTCCCTAATTACTCCAAAAATGAGATAACCAACATCGCTGAGACCACTGACGGAAAAAAGAACATATCTGAAACCCCCAAAAAATACATTTTTTTAAAAAGTTTCAGGAGCAGGGGAGAAACAAAGTATGATTGTAAATGCATGACAAGAGAAAAGAAAAAAGGGTACTAAACTTTTAGCTTAACTATAAAATCAGTCAAACTAATATTCGGGCTTTCTTTCTAAAAGGAAATGTTAGAGTAAGGATGGCAATCACCAATCGGATTTTACCTATGAATGCTCGCTTGTCCATCAGTAAAATCTGCTGTTGCCTGCCATAAGGTATGCTTTCTAGGCTGAGGGTTAGTCTCCCTGAAGAAAAGAGGTTGTCTAGCCAGCTGCAACACAGAAGGGGTCACCAGGTTGAAAACGTAGACACAACATAATCATGTTGAGAAACATACATACAAACATAAAAAAGACAAAATAGGAAAGCAAAGACATAGCCATTACCACAACAGTCAAAGTACCAGGTCCATCATCCGGGCAATTTGCTTTGAGAGCCATAATATCTGACCACTGGATTTCTATTTTACTCTTGAGACCACCTTCAAGAACTTCCCAAACAAGCTTATGCTTAGCAAAGTAACACTTCGCCACTAAATCTCCCTCATATCTTGATTTATACTGCCACCAAGTAAAGTAGTTTTAGAAACTTTTGGCCCAAACATATTCACTCACAATATCAAAATATAAATAACTTAAAAACTAGTGAAGATACCTCCCAACCCCCAATCCTTAAAAGTGAAGCTGGAAAATTTGAAGCCTTGAGCTTATCCGTAGTACCCACTGCAGCAGTTGCTTTACTTTCTTTTTTAACTGCAGAGCTGGCATTTTCACTTTGTACAGCTCCAGTTGTAGAAGCACCCCCCTGAGCAAGTTTCATTTGAATTAACTCCAATAGAGACGGGCTCTTTCTTAGCCTCAAACCCAAAGGGCTAGGCTCATCGAGTGGATTGTATTGTGAAGGTGGGACAGCAAATGCATTATCCCCAACACTCCTCTGCAGTTCAATCAACAAAACAAAGTAAGAGAACATTTCAAAGAATAATCAAATTCAAAGTTAGCCCAAGTAAAACAATCCAACATTTCAACAAATGAAATTCCAAAATAATTGTAGTTCAAAACAAGCCGAATTCCTAATTATTCCAATCCAGTGCCAGAACAGGCAACACCCAAAAGTTAAGAGAACGCACCTAGTCTAAGGGAGCTCAAATTTGTATGTTAATAACATCCCATGTGATGGAAGCGAGATCTTAATTATCTTAATGTATAAATACATACAAGATCACAAATTTATACCCCTCCTCAAACCAAACAAACCAAAAAAATTTGTGTCTTCAGAAACATTTTCAATCTTGAGTTATGACACAAAATCCAAAGATCTACTAAGCTATTGACAATCACATGAAAAAAACAAGATTAAATCTTCATTTCTCCGAACCACAATTTCTCATCGAATAAATACATGCAAAATCAAAAAACAGAAAAAATTTCAAGCTGGTCCAGATTCCATAAGCAAATGACAAAAGCAAGAAAGATTTAATACGAAAGTAAGCTGTATCCAATTAAGTATTAGGTAATCTTTCTTTCCTAGCTATTTTCTCAGCAACCAAACGAAACAGAAAGAAAAGGACCGCAAACCGAACCTCTTGAAAAGCAGGGGAGGGTTTGGGACGCTTGTTGAGCGGGCCATGCTCGTCCTCCAAAGCGTCCTCCATCTCCAACTTCACCGGCACCTTTTCCGTACACGGCGTCGTTTGGAGATCTCCGGATTTCATCATATGCACCATCAACTCTTTTCCCCAAAACCCGAAAAAAAAAATTCAGCGGAGAAATTCAAATTCCCAAAATAAATTAAGGGGAATGAAATAAAATAAATAAACTCACTAGAAAATTAAGCGGTCTTTGATCTGAAGAAATCGGAAGATTGATTTCTGAAAACCCTAAGCAAGAACTCAGAATTTTGGAAAGTCACAAGCTCTTAACGCTGTTAGGGACGAGAGGAGGAGGCAGGTCTTCGACGGCGATTCCCACGTGGTGTAACTAGCCTCGGCGCTATGTAGTTACTGAATTACCCTCGAAACAATTGCATATCTGGGTCTAGGAGTATGGGTATCTTTGTAATTTGGGTTGATGTTGTCACGCGTGCGCTGGCAGACACGTATGAAATTAATGGATATTGTGCGGGGCCCACTCAACTTTAAATGACGGCGTTGGTTGTTTGTGTCCAAACGTGGCGGCAGATCCCGCTCTAGCTTGTCACACGCATGTTTCTTGTAGCCGACACGTAGACTGTTCTAATGGATTACGAATATGAAATAGAACTTCATTCTTGCTCGTTTACCATCACCAACTTCTCACAAGTTTGTCACGTATCGATTAAAATAACAAATTGTTAACAATTTACCAATATTTTCAGCAATTTATAAGCCATAGTTTAAAGGAGCGATAGGAGTTTCTCACGCACACACTATAAAAGTGTAATAGGAGTTCGAACCTAAAATAATCGATCTGTAAATCTTAGGTTAGACCCCATTAGCTAACTCTTTCACTTGATATCTTTGAAAAGTTTAATTTCTTAACCAGTTACGTTACTCATTATTGCCGTTTACAATTTTCTTCTTTTGTCACTCAATTCAATTTCAATAATTGAAATTGCCCAATTCTATGAACACTGAAGAAAAAACTGCATGAAATGAAATACAAATGTACGTCGTCTTTTGTCTCATGGAAAATTCTTTCCTTGCACTGCTAAAGATTATGCCGCCAAATAGGACCCAACAAGCCTATGGCCCAATTGACTTCCCAATTCAATGTAATTAGACAAACAAGTGGGTAAAGTTCTTTTATAATCAATCCAGACGGATAGCCCAATGATTAAAGATATATATATTTTTTTTTTTTTTTTTTTTTTACAGCGATTGGAGGATGAGATTTACGCAGATACAAGACAGAAAGTTTCTCCGTCAATTGGAATATAGGTATTGCTTTTATAAACCTTTTTCACTAAAAATTGTAATCAAGGGCTTCTTTGGACAAAACGTATTGTCTTTATTATCCCAAATGAAAGACATCTTCCCTGTCCTTTCGACATTATTAGTATGTTTTGTTGAGGACAATGATATCAAGACATTATGGAATGCATATTCTTCTTATCTTGCTGCAACTTGCTACTCTCCATATTGATTAGACTGACATATCAACTTACCTATTGACTAATCGACCTAATTTCGATATGGGGTAATATTTCACATCAATCCCTCGAGAAAATAATAGGGCTTTTTATAAGCAGGTTCATTCGAATATGACATATTATAAAATATATATTAAAAAAACACCTTTATAGGGCCTCTTTGGAGAAAAAAAAAAAACTTAAAACTAGCCACTTGTCATTTTCTAATTGATTCTTTAAAATTTTAACATACTAAAAACCTATTAGACAATAACACGTGGTTAATTTTGAAATTTTCTCTCCAAATAGGCTCTATGTGAGTTTTTGTATAATATATTATGCTAAGCAAACTCAAGGTGATACTTGGCTATCAGTTTCAATACCATTCTATTAGCAACTGGCAAGTATATATCAAGTAGTTAAAATTTGACAGGGCAACTCTTGCGCAATAGCCCGCTCCAAATTGAAGTAAATAAATTAAGGGAGTTTCACTAAAACACCCAAAATGGGGGTTGAAATTATAAAAAAAAATCCAACATCCAAAACACTTTATAAACACACCCAAAATCCATCATTACACACTCAAAACCCATTTATAAACACACCCAAAAAATATACAATTGTTGATTTTGGGTGTGTTTCTATGTTTAAATAGTGCTTGGGTTTTTTTATAAATACATGTCTAGGATTGAGTTTATTTATAAATTTGTAATAAATTAAAGGATTAAAGACAAAACACCCTTTTTATGTTTGGGGTCATTTTCAATAGGCTTATTATCACAAAACGTCTCTAAGGTTTACGAAACTATCAGATTGCATCTTTAATGTTTTTTTGTGTCATTTATGGTCCTTAAGGTTAGCATGTGCAATCACAAATGGTTCATGCCGTTAGGTTCTGTTAAAAACTATATTAGTTTGCTAACGTGGCATACATATATATCACAAAATATCCTTGAGGTTTACACACTTATCACAAATGGTCCCTATAAATATATATTTTTAAATTTAAAATTCATAAAATTTTGGTTTTCTTTTTAAAATTATTTATAAATGAAAAAACCATTTATATAAGGATTTTAATCTTGAGGACCGTTTATGAACCCTAAACCTTTAGTTTTTTTCATTTTTAAATTTTATGAATTTTAAATTATTTTTTAAAAACTTCATTAATTTGTTGATGTGACATATATATGGAGCCCACATCTACAATAATATAGTGTCACATGTATTTAAAATTTAATCTATATTTTAAAATAATTATAATTCATAAAATTTTAAAAAGAAAACAAAAATTTTATGAATTTTAAAATTAAAAAATTAAAAAATTTCGTAAGGACCATTTGTGATAGATATGTGAACCTCAAGAATGTTTTGTGATATACATATATGCCACGTCAGCAAACTAACGGAGTTTTTGACGGAATCTAACAGCATGGACCATTTGTGATCATGCATAATAACCTTGAGGACCACGAATGACCAAAAAAAAAATTAAGGATGCAGTCTGATAGTTTCGTAAACCTTATGAACGTTTTGTGATAATAAGCCTTTTCAATATGGGCTTCTAACTTTCAATTTCATCAATTTACACCCAATGATTTTCACATGTGACCAATTTAAGCCTTCCGTGAAGTAGACTGTTTGGTCAGACGTTAACTGCTGACATATCAATTGTAGGACCCATCCATTAACCAATCCCCAATTTTTTTTTAATAAAATAACATGAAATTTAAAAAACACTCTACCCAGACGCACAGCCTTCCCCACCCCCTATCCCCGACGCACAACCGCACCCACCCCAGCCCCCTCCCTTTCTTCGTCCCTATCTCTTTCTCCGTCCCTTTCTCCTCCCAGCTACCCCATCCCATCATATCCAAAACAAGCCCCCACCCCCTCCCTCTCTCTTTCTCTCTCTCTCTCTCTCTCTCTCTGCAGCATAGAACTCAAAGCGGAACTTTGAAATATACGACTCAAACAACGATCCCCCTTTTGCTATTTTCTCAATTTCCTTTTTTTTCTCTCTGTCTTTCTTCCATCCAATTGTGGACGGGGATGATATGGACTGAATTGTTGTGAATTTGTGATCCATACCCCGAAACCCATCAACCCATTTGCCCAAAACCAAGAACTAGTCCTTCCTTCCTTGTGCCCTGTGATTGATTTGGTTCACATTGAAGAAGGTTGAAGAAGAAGAATTTGAAGAAAAGGAGAATTGGGTTTTTATGTCACGTGGGCAATGTCAACCGCTGAGCATGTCGGCTTCCTCAACAGGGATGCGAACAAGCCCATTGACGACGGCTATTGCAACCCAATGAAGAAAAGCGGACCCATTTCCATGAATCACATTCTTATGGCCTTGCGAGAGACTAAGGAGGAGAGAGCGAATCTTGGGTACTTGGACTATCCCAAGATCGAGGCCGCGTTATCGGCGCTTCAGATTCCACCATAGTACAAGTATGCCAAGGATCTTATGAAGGTTCGATTATCTCAAGTTTCGAAGGTACATGGATGACAAGGAACTCGAGATGTATCGGATTTTTCAAGCCATTGATGGTGCAGCTGTGCGTCGGCGAGAGGGGGTGGGGAACATCGGGGAGGCGCTGGGTTGTTGGGCACAGAAGGGGGTGGGGTCTGGGTAGATTTTTATTTTATTTTATTTTATGTGATTTTATCATTTTATATAATTGATTTAGTTTCTTTTTTTCAGATTGGTGGGTCCCACAATGAACACATCATCAGTTTGGTGGGTCCCACAATGAACACATCATCAGTTAACGTCTGAATAAATAGTCTACTTAATGGAAGGCTTAAATTAGTCATATGTGAAAACCATAAGATGTAAATTAATGAAATTGAAAGCTAGGAGCCCATATTGAGAATAACCCTAAACATCAAGGGTGTGTTTCGTCGTTAGACCTAAAATAAAATACATCATAAAATGTTACCATTATTGCCTGCAGTTTCTAGCATACTCAAGTTCAAGCATCTTCTGAAAGAGGAAACTGATGGACAATAAGTGCTGACATTATATATATCCGTACATTAGAAATTCCAGTGTAGGTAAATGTAATACCAACCACCCTCAATTGACTAGGAAACCAAAACAAAAAAACAAAAAATCATTGAAATTAATCAAGCACTTTCTTTCACAAAGATGTGAGAAATACAGGTGTGCATGTCAGAAACGCCTTCTGCTTTCACGTTTAAAGATCACCTCTACTCTGCCTTTCTATTTACTTTCAGATATGGCAAGGCTCCAATCACATTGTTATAGTCACTTCGACTCACCTCATGCTGCACATAACAAAAGCCCAAAGTAACATAAGAAACCAACGAGCAATACTAAATCTGAGAGATAAACAATCATATATCAATATCTATGCATAAAGTAACAGGGGACGTCTTGGCTTGAGATGTGAGCTGAGAGCTGGGTAACAGATGTGCTGTATGGGTTCTCCTTCACAGATTTTAAACAGTTCTCTCTTCCAAAGAGTAAAACTATTGACAAAAAGGGTAATTTATTGCCTTCTGGGATTGAGAATTATAACAGGCCAAATAAAAAACGAAGCGCAATGAATAATGATAATTGCTATGTGTAGCTGAAGCAAACAACAAACGAGATAGCAAACTCAAATGGACAGTGGATGAGGACGCAATCAATTGTTTCTCTATAACAAAAACGTATCATAAATCCATTGAAAACCATCCACCACTTTTTTCACGCTATATTTGAGGAATTTATCTAATTTATAGTGTCCAAGCAAAATGATATATTTGAGAAAAAAGACACAGCACAAATTCAATTAATCTATACTGTATCAAGAGTCTACAGACAGAACTTCAAGAACAAGGTGCTGAGAAGTGAGAAGAAGCCAATTTTTGCTCAAGTTTCACTTGAACCTCAGGTTTTATAAGTAAGAAGCAAGTGTTTGGGTTCATTATGAGCCCTTAAAAGCCTTCTTATTATTCAAAACAGCATGTAAAGAAGGATAAATATTCTTCACAATGCACTCATGGCAATATCAATATCATTAGATTCCAACCTCTTCCCATTATAAAATCCAACTTAAAAAACAAGTGCATCCAACCTGCTTGTAGATCTGCGCCTAAAACAATTGTATCCAACCATACATTCCTAAACTGTAACTCAAAGTCTGCATGTTTTAAACAGAATCATCCTATAACTTAACTATAGTGGATTGAAAACAGAAGGAAATACTGAATGGACATCTTTGATTCTCTAATATTGCTTCCAAGTCTATAATTAGAATGCCTTTTTTGGGCAGGAAAAGTTCATAGTTACTACAACTTGTAGATAAGGTTTAGAAACACACCATTTTGGATAGTCGAGTTCTCCTCTTGGCATTCTTCTTTACAAGTAAATGTTGCTTTCCAGCTCTCCTCCGAACTATTTTCCCTCTACCTGTCACCCTGAACCGCTTCGCCGAAGCCTATCAACAGTTATGCATATAGTTAGATGATAAAACCAATAGGAGCTTATTCGAAGGCTAAAAATTAAACAACAGTAAATAAATGAAAAAGATTAAAACTGTCAAGTGTGTTCAATGGTCTAGAATGGGATTTGATTGGGAATTCAAACTTCAAGCTTGTTTTTTTTTTCCACAAAATTCAAGATTTCACTTAGGATTTTATTTTGTCAACTTAGAATGCATGATGTTAATTGCCATCACTCCATCTTCTTGGTCAACTCCATCAAGCTTTAATCAACTCTACCAACCTTCATCAGTCTCCATTGCACTATAATTTTGTTACTTGATTATGATTTATATTTGTCTTCCCTAAGTGCAATATATGTCTGTCCAACTCAATGAAAATATCAAACTATCATATTTCAATTACATCTCAAACAAATTAAAATTCAAAACTATTCTTTGTGTGACCAATTTGGAACATTACCACATACTCTTTCCCATTCTTTCTTTTCCAAAATTTTCTCAGTAACCAAACGGAAATAACCAAAATCCATACGAAATACCTTGTGGGTCTTCATTTTGTAGCCTTTAGCAGAGACGATGGTGAGAGAACGAGGCCTAAGAGGGCTTGAAGCAATAGTGCAGAGCCTGTGAGGAAGAAGCGAGGCCAACCCAGAAATGCTATTTGAGGAACTGAGTCTCAACGAGTTGGGCCTATTGAATTGAGCGAGTTGAACTGAGCCGCGAGAGAGCTGAGCCATGAAAGAGCATGATGGGGAATATCTCAGACCAAATGTAACCGCCGTGGCCATGGCTGCACAGGCCATTGTTAGTTTTTCTTCTTCTTCCGCTGAAAACTCTCACTCAGAACAAGTTGTGGATAAAGTTTGAGCGCTTAATTGGAGTCCTCATATCCTTTTGCGTTGTTTACAATTACAGGCAACGAAGGCGTGTGTTCATAGAGGGTGATGCGAACACAGCACATTTAATTGTTCGGCCCAGAAACAGTTAGGAGCCCAAGCCCAATTTCTCCTCTTGCTCCGGTACCGAAACTCAAGCCCAGTGATGTAGAAAGGTTTGGAATTATTGTATGGTATTGGAATATGGATGAAAATGTATAAAGGTTTGGAATTATTGTATGGTATTGGAATATGGATGAAAATGTATGGTCAATTAAAGGAAGGTTGAAAAACTTAACGTCCGTCAAGACAGAGAATGAAGTCTTAACAGCATATTCAAAGAACAGCAAGTTTTCTCTTTTTTTTTCGTCATTCGCTTGGGAAGGAGAGAGGGAGGGAGAGGAAAAGTATTATATTGGATTGTCTCAAGATTGTCTCTTACATGAACCAAACCTTATCAGGAAATAGGTCCGTACATCATTTTCGGGCATGAATTACAACTTCAGCACCAAGTGGTTTGGCCCCGTTCTATTTCTCAATTAACAGCTTCAGTAAATAGGTGAGTTTCGATTCGAAATTGAGCTCTGAACAAGATGGCTATGAATTATCATGACCTTGTCAAGATGGCTATGGATTCCCACTCCAAACTACATATCACATCCTGTGCAACAAAATGTGGAATGTTAAACAACACGACTTTAAGCTTCTTCAGGCATTCTTTTATAAGATTAAACACATTCAAAAGTCACAGAAATCAGAAACATTTCATTTTGACTTTCACAGAGCACAAACTACAAATTGGTAGAATTTCTACTTACAGAAGGATATTGCCGGTCTATGTCAAAGCTGTTGATTGCACAAGGTTCAGCTAAGAGCTCAATGGGTTCTTCACCTAAACAGATTTGGCCAATCTTAATAAACCATTCACGTTTCAAGGATATTTTGTTTTACATATGCTCAGCCAATTAGCAAAAGAAACAAGCTACCAACCATGACAGTTGGCCATCGAAGAATTAGCAGAAAGGATCTTACCCTGTTCAACAACAGCAAGGATACCGTCTTCTGAACAGATCATAGTAGGTAAGATACGTGAAGAGACATTTCCCACATTTGAAGACTTTGCATAGTGGTCAAAGTGAACCTCCCAAACCTCACTTTCGCATGGTGAATGGGTTGTTTCACCTGCCCCAACACCAGAAAGAAGAATTGGTTGTTGTGGCCACCTAAGATCCCAGGCAAATACAGTACCTAAGGAACCTCCTGCCTATAAGTACCAGAAAATTGTAAGAAGAACATCAGATTCTTCTTTTTGGGTCTGTGACAACATAAGATTCAAGAAAACTAAAATCTGATCAATCAAGTGAGAAATCTAACTCATATATACTTAAAAGTCAAAGGCAAATATTTCTTTTTTTAATTCACATTAGCATTACTGCATCTCCCGCAGCTTACAACATGCATAATGGAATAATATGTCAATACAATACTTAAAAAGTTGAAACAGGCTACTTGGCAAGGACTTTGAAGATGGTGAGAAATGCATAAGAAACAAAACAAAACAAAACAAAACAAAAATAGAAGACTGAGGAAGGGAGAGAGGACTAAGACGACAAGAAAAACCAAATTCATGATTCAAGGTAAAGCTAAATTCAAATGTTTCACAAACAGAAAGAAAAGAAAAGAAAAAGGAACTTAACAATAAAATTGATGCTCTTATCTCTTTTATCAATTTCAAAACGACACACATAACAAATAGGTGAGTTGCAAAGATCACCAGTTAAATGCAAATCAAAGTATGGAATTTTTTACATATCAGCATTACCAGACAAGTGTGCTTTCGTGAAGGATGAATATCAATGGAATGTATGATCCCAGGAGTTGTTCTTTGAGACCTACAACATTTCCACCAAAAGCTCTGAAGATGAAATCACCAATATGCTGTGGAAATTCTTTTAAAGTTTAAGCAGTAATGAAAAAAAAAGCAAACAAATGGAAAAAGACAAATGATAAGCACAAGGTCATTGAAAAGTTTCTGATTGTGCAATCCTTGCAAATGAAAAGCACGAATCAGACTCTAACATAAATGAAATATACATTAGACTTAACTCAGGATACCCACATATCTCTGCAATTCATTGCTCGGATGTTATTGCCTCTGCCCCCACACGGGACCTCACCCCTACTACCTTTGCCTAGAAGATCACTAACATCTCACGGATTAGACTCTAACCAATCAACCTTTTAGTAGATCATGAGTGGGTCTGCCCGTCCTCCTAAAATCAATAGCATTTCGTTGGAATACATCCTGTCTCTACACCTTCCTAAAAGTAATATATTTCCTTATGGATGTATCATGTCAATAGTTTGCAAATTTATTGTAGTTAATCAAAATTTATTTATACCAAATATGAGCTAGGCATGTAATGCATTTAAGCACATACGTATCTAGTTACGTATGGAAATACAAATTCCAGCTTCACGAGAAGTGTGTTCATGCCCTAAGAAGGCACACTTCTTAAGCCTCTAACATCCTGCATTTCTAAGCTACCGAGTCTACATTTCTGGCATGTTAAAGTTGTTTACATCTTTTATTAGTGTTCTATTAAATTGCATACAGTTCCAGCTCATAAATGAAAATGAATCATTCTGAAAAAGTCCATTAACTAATAAATTCAAAATCAAACTATATTACATCCACCAAAGAATTTCTCTGAGCCATTTACTGATTTCATTAAGCAACAGTAAATTCTTAAACAAGATGGAGATCAGTTATAACTCAGTTTATAGCGAGGAAATTGCAATATAGCATAATCACTGTAGCAAATGAGACAAAGATCAATGAAAGTTCATCATAAATTGAAGAATAAATTCAAATTTGAAAAGCAGAACAAATTCATAAAAATGCTCACCAGCTACCCTTAAACTGAGACACCGCCGCACCAGGCTTTCTCTGATCCCACCACTGGAGACTAAATCCATATCCTCCAGTGGCAAACTCACTCGGGGAGGCCCATTTCGCCGTGGTAAACGACACCAACCCGCTGCTATCGAAAATCCGTTGGTAGCTCAACTCAGACTCCCCGACAGAGACCAAATTCACCCTCCCATCTTCCCCTACACTCACACACTCCACCCCACCGTCCATTATATCCACACAAGAAATGGGTCCCTCATGCAATGCCTTTTCGGGCATCGAAAGCTCCGATTCGAGAGATGCCGGGTCCATCGAATCCCCAAACAAGATGTGAATGGAGCCCGCCAATGTTGCGGCGGCCACTAAGGGTTTGTGGTGGGATTGAGAGGTTTTGAGGGAGGAAATTCGTGAAGGCGAGAACCATTGAGATTGTTGGGTTAGATTTTCTGGGTCTGGAGCAAAAGAGTGGGTTTCTATGGCGGCAGAGTCGGAATCTGAATCGAAAACTGCGATGACGGCCAAGCGGTCTAAGGCTGAGAGAGGAGGCAACCAGCGGACAGAGTCTATGTACTTGGATTGTCGGAATCTGTGGATTTGGGGAGGCTCGGAGAGTGCCGTGATCGCCATTGTTAAGGGTTTAGGGTTTTACAGTGTTCTGCTCTCTCACTGGCTTGCTTGCTTTTGTTTCAATCAAATTGGGGAAGGTGGGGATACGTTAGTGAAAAATGGGAATTTGCTCGGGTAAGTGTAGTAATAGTGTGCATTGACTAATTTGCCCTCGTGATGGTCAAAGCCTCAAAGGACATATGGAGAAGAAATGGAAGAGAAAGATGGGGGGAAAATGTTTGCCTCAGAAAAGACCCTTATCTTTAACAAGCTCTCCCCTTATCTGTTTGTGAAGAAAAATGGCAGAGAATTCGGAACCATATCAGCAAAGAGGAGAGATTTGCCTGAAGACCCTTCAACCCAGGAACAATTCATCTTCCCATTGAGGATCAAAATTTCAAACCCAATTGTTGCTGGGTCTGTGGTTGCAGTGTTGGGATTAGGGTTCATTGATGCAGGGTAAGCTTCTTCTTTTTTCTCTTTTCTTTTTTTTTCTTTTTTTTTGGGGCTCACTTCTCTTTCTTTTGCCATTTGATTTTGATCTGTTTAATGTGGAAAAATAATGAATTTTCAGGTACAGTGGAGACTGGTCAAGGATTGGAGTGATCTCGAAAGAGAGTGAGGACTTGCTAAAGGTTGCTGCCTTTGTAGTTGTTCCCTTGTGTGTTTTTCTCATAATTTCTTTTTTCAAAGAACAAGAAGATTGAATCTTGAGTTGGGCTATTGTATTGTATTTTGAATGTGATATGATGAAATGAGGTCTGAATTGTAAAGTATTTTATTCTTTAGTAATATTTTATGGGTGGAAAGAAGAAGGTGAAGTTGTTGGGAAATTTTGAGAACTAATTTTACCCAACTTTGAATGAGGAAATTTAAAAATAACGAGGTATTCCAAAATGATGAAATTCAATCTTCTACAATTTGTTAAGTATTTTTTATTGGGCAAATCTATAAACATGATGGATTTAAACATACAGCTTAATATTTATTTCTTTAAGCATCAATCTATAAATCAGTAGTAGTGTCGATAGATGTGTTAATAGTGGTGGTGGTGGTGGTGGTGGTGGTGGCAGCGGGTGTGCCATCATGTGTGATGCTGCTAATGGCTTTGCTAATATTAAGGTGATGGTGGCAGGGACGATTTAGGAGATAGTCATGGCAAGGTGAAGGTGGTTGTAGTAGAGTTGGTAGTGGTGATGTTCTTTTCATTCAAACTATCACTATCTTTTTCATCAAAAAAAAAAAAAAAAAAAAAAAAAAACTATCTCTTTAATTTTTAATATGAAAAATTTAGCCAAATTGGTCATTGTATTAACCAAAGTTTATAATTTATAGACTTGTCATTAAGTTTCCGTTAAGTTTTTGGATTAAATATACTTTTTTGTTCAGTGAGTTTTACACAAAATTTCAATTTGATCACTGATAATTTTTTAGCTCAAATGCTATGCTCTAGCACACACTGCTCGTATGCTAAAAAGTTAGGGTTCGTGTAGTATTAATTAAGGCTAAAAAAAGGAATCATATCATGACAAAAATATGTTCGTATCTCAATAATAGTTTCACAAAAATGCAAATCGATCTTTTCAAAAAAGCTCATATCATACTCCAACATTCACAAAAATTCAAATCCGTAATTATATCAATACATAGATTTGACCAAAAAATAAAGTATCGCATTTTTATGGTTTTTGGCTCTTTTTTTTTTTAGTGATCAATTGAATTTTCGTGCAAAATCCAATGAGGAAAAAGGTATTTGACCCAACAACTTAACGGAAACTAACTCCAAGTTTATAAATTGTAAACTTTTGATAATACAATAACCAATTTGGCAAAATTTGTTTCTCAGTGACCAAATTGAAATTTCGTGTAAAACCTAGTGATCAAAAAGGTATATAACCTATTTTAAAATCACAACTACTTCGATAAAATTTAAAATTGGAATTTATAACTTCCAAATTATAAAGTTTTTTTCACGTAAAATTTCTAAGTTTCTTTGTTTATGAATCTAAACAAGGATATGTGAATTTATAAATTTGGACTTTCATTCAAATTTTGAAGCATAGTTCATTAAAATCTCTTTCCATTACAACTTTTCTCTTTCATACAAATTGATAGGCTTAGAGAGAGAAAGAGAGAGAGAGAGAGAGAGATCTATAGTTGGTAGACCATGGCTACCAACCTTCGAGGTGTGCCACACCTCGAAAATTTAGTAGTGTAGTGGAAAAATGCATTGACTTGTAAACTAATAGTCTCAAGTTTAAACCTCCATGACACCTTGGTAATGTGTGTGAGAAGCCTCCCTCCTCTTGTAGTTTAAATTATCGTATGTATTCAAAAAATTAGTTGTTTGTTACTTTGACAAAAATTATCATTGTTGTTAAAAAGAGAAAATGAAAAACATTTAAAACCAGTCGTTTGTTACCGTTAGTATTAAACAAATAGTATTTAATGAGGTTCTAATGGCAACCGTTGGATCAACATCAGTAATGTTGGCAATGGTTAGATGAGGTGACACAGGCTTGCAAAAAATCATGAGTGGGGCTTGCATTAGTTTCATAGGTTGCAACTAGGGCTGGGTAATGCTTGGAACATGCTTTCAATCATATCCAAGTGTTCCACCAAAGTTTTTGAAGCTTGAATTGCTCTTAAAACCTCCACCTTGAAATGGCTCACCAAGTTACTAAAGAAAGTGGCCTTTAAGTCTCGTCACGAACAAGATGTTCGGAAGAAGATGATGTTCCTTGGTGAGAATATGGTGCTAGCAATCTCTCACCAAAAGGACCTGATTTTGCTAGGGAGGATGGGAGAGCTATCATCCAATTGCACCAAAAAAAAACCTAAAAAGGCATGAGCTTCTTTAAATAGGAAACTCAAAAACAAGGGAGAGGGTGAGGCCACTCCCTCCCATGCCATCCACCCATAGTGGGCCTCTTGGGCCCAAGTCACTTTAAATTGTCATACAACTTATGTTATGAGTCCAATTGGCCTAAAATTTAAAATTCAATTTTAAGGACCATTGTGACATCTCTTGTTTGTTAAATTAATTCCTTAATTAATTTTGACTTAACTAATTAACTAAGCTTAATTAGTTTCCTTAATTTATCGTTATGTCTTTTCCAAAAACCAAGTTTAACGATGTCTGATCCATTAAGTTATAATTAGCATGACAGTGGGTAATTAGAATTCTTCCTAATCAATTATTACCCTTTAATAAGGATCATTATGATTGATCCTTAGGGTTTTTATAAGTCTTGAGTGACACCTAATAGTACGTCAAGGCTACCCAAGCTAAGTATAATAAGTAAAAAAACCTACTCAATTGAAATTACAATGTAATCTGGTCATTCTCTATTTCAATGCGCTTAATTTCATTATAAGAGCATGGATAATTCATGTAAAGCCACTAATGAGATTATCTCGTTTCCATATGAGATGTATTAGTATGACTAGAACATATTTTCTAACTATTCTAATAAGAGATTTGGTTAATCATATCTTCCAAGCATTAAGAAGGGAAAACTTGGTCTAGGCAATTTCTAAAATCACATATAGGGTAACAAATCTAGCATGCATTTAAACTAAATACATATAAAAAGAAACATAATTTAAACTAGAAACTTATACACATCTTATTGAACCCAAGCATCTTTCTAGGCTTATAAAATGTTGCACCAAAGACTCTCTAATCAACTATAAAGAGAGGAATTAGAGATGTAGTTACTGTTGGAGCGAATCTTAAACCTTAAGAAGGTGTTCATGTAGAGTGCTTCTCTTATTTCTTTTTCCTCTACTATGACTCTCCAATAGGTACAAAGGGATATACCTCACCAAAGCTCTTCACTCATAAGAATTTAGATGAGAGAAAGGATACTTGGGAGAGCACAAGAGTGCTAGCCCTTGCTTTCCAAGTTGGCCGATGATGATTGAGATAGAGGAAACCCAATATGGGTCAACATGGAACAGTGGTGTCATAACACAACTTCATTTTAGGGTTTCATCTCTTCCAAATTTCCCACTTGAAAACCCTAAAATGAAATTGTGGTTATGACATCATATATAGATACCCATATTGTGACACATGTGTAGCTAAATTCATATGTGTGCTGCACCCTCCCCTTGGTAGCTTAATTTTGGGCCTCTTGGGTCCAATACATTTGACCTTTAATGTGTCACACAAGTCTAAAGTCCTATGGGTCTTTTCTTAATTCTTTAAGTCATGTGGGACCTAACTAAGTTCTATAACTTTAATTGTTTAAGTAAACTATTCTAATTAGTTTAATGACCTAATTAATTAATTAATTAATTTGTCTTACAAGTATTGATCCTGGTCAATCCTTGTTTACTATGTCAAGTGTCGGGTCAACAATTGACCTTTGACTTTGACCAAGGCGTAAAATCTCTCTCTTTTATTCTCAATCCATTCTTTTGTGGTGTGTGATCTTTTAGGTTCTAACTAGCGAGATAGCAGGTAAGTCTGATTCCTTCTAAACCGAGAATGAATTGAATCTCACCATTCAAATTTCCCTATTGAATAAGACTAATTGTAATTAACCTTATAGGGATTCCTTATCTAATCTAAATATAATTCATTGGAAAACCTATTCAGTTGTAATTGCAATACAATCATGTCTTTCTCTAAGACAATACTCTATGTCACATTATTAGGATTCGGTTAAGTTGTGTCAAATCCCTAATGTGACATTACTAGGTAATATGATTCATATGGATGAGTTTGCAAACTTACTTTCACAAATCTGTCTGTTACTTTGGTCAAAGATTTCACAAATCATATCTCTAGAGTATTCTCTCTCTTTACTAAGAGTACAGATTCTTTGTTCTACATTCACGTGCCTCTGTGAGCTTATCGAATATTCCAATGATCGCCTTCAAGCCATATCTTTCAATAGAACTGTATAGTGTTCTCAAAGATAAACGACTTGTCCATAAGATAACTGTGATGTCTCAGGTCTGAGGACTACTTTGCATTATCGCAACTTAGAATTAGTTGTTTGACACTTGTAACTAAAACTACCATACAAGAATTCTTAGTCGAGCGTGTTCAGTGAACTCTATCTCCATTGAGCACCTACACACTTGTCTCATTGTTTCTACATGAATGACTTGAGAATCCTCCTAATTGAGCACACATAATGTGTATAAGTCTTTGTGGATCACCATTGTCAAATTGGTGATCCTATGACTGGGAACATTTTAGGATGAGATACATCATAATGGAAAAGTCTTGTGAATCTAACATCTTTAGAGAGAATTTGGAGGTCATAAATTAAAGCTTTAAATTCTATCTAAATAGTTGTAATTTTTACAATCCCAAAAGAGAGAATTTTAAAAAAGAAAAACAACCATGTATGATGTCACCACTACCACTTCTACTACCACCACATTGCCCTAGAAATGACACTACCATCATCCCTCCCACTGCCACCATCACCACCATCAACCCCACCAACACTACCACCTACCATGGTCATCTCCCCCACCCTCACCATCACCGCCACCACCACCATCACCATCACCATAACCACATCACCGCCATTACCACCCTCACCCTTCACCCCTATCACCACCCTCACCATCATCTTGATATGGCCATCACCACCGCCACAGCCTCCATCATGTCGCCACCACCTTTATTATCACCACTTTTTCGTGGCCATCAACACCATCGCCACCACCACCACCACTTGTCCATGGCCATCACCACCACCATTTCCTCCCACACCCCACTACCATTCGTACTATAACCAACCACCCTAAATTGCCACCACCCTACTATTAGCAACCCACCACAAATTTCACATATAATGGCACCACCACTATGACAAGAAAATAAACGTTAAGGCCCTATTTGGTTTACAAAACGAATTTGAGGGAAAATCACTTCCCATATCATTTCCCAATGGATGACAAATGGAAGATTCATTTCCCACATTTGGTAATGTTCGGAAAGGAATCGGGAGATATCACTTTATTTCCTTTCCCATGTTTGTTTTAAGTAGGAATGAAAGAAAAAAAAATTGTATAATTTTCCAATTATATCCATATTAAATTAATTAAAAAAAGAATGCATTTAATGATATATTGTAATTCAGCATTGTTAATGGGGACAAAATGGTCATGAAAAATGTGCATTTAATGTTGGCTCATTTTTCGAAACTTTCCCATGATGAGGGAAAACAAAACCCAAATTAGGAGGATGACTTCACTTTCCCACTTACTTTCCCATGTGCTAGGCAACTATTTCCCATACATGGACTTACCAAACATGGAAAAACAATTGATTTCCCATTCCCAAGCTTCATTTTCCATGAACCAAACGGGGCCTAAATTCTGTATTTAAACCTATTAACCAAACAAAAAACTTAACAAATTTTAGAACACTAATTTCCATCATTTATGAATTCCTTATTTAGTACTTTTAAATTTCCTCATCCAAACATAGAAGATTTCTTGCTTGACCGTAAAATCCATTTACTTCTGACTTGCAAGTATTAGTCAGAAATGTTAATCCAATAGGGTCCAACATAGGAAAAGTTGGGCCTTCGAATCTGCTGCTTCTTCAGGAAATCAAGGGAAGATGGACAGAGAGAGAAACAAAGAGAGGTGATGAGGTGGTAGAGGAGATAAATGAGAGGCCCGAAATCGCTAGCCATTCTCCGTGTGTGTGTACGTGTGTATAAGGCATTCCTTGGCTTACCTTATCCTATCCAACTCTCCCTCTCTCCCTCCTCTCTCTATCTCTCTCTTTGTCATTTATATCTCCACTCACTCTCTCTCTCTCTCTCTCTCTCTCTCTTTTATAATCTTAACCCTTCTTCTCATCTGTCCCCAGCTCTATATCACTTATGCTAGGAAATATCCCACTTCACTTCTTCAACCTCAATTCCCTCCATTCTGCCATGTGAAGGCACCTTCTTAGCAACCCTTCAAATCCCCCACTCTCTAATTTTCCAGCGACCCTTCAAAAAAAAAACAAAAAAAAGAAAAAAAAAAAAAAAGAACATATAATAAAAACATATAATATATTATCAGCTAATACAGCTATTGACATTTCAATTTCTCTGCTGAGCAGATTAAATATGATTCTACTCAATGAAGCATTAAGTTCTCCTGGGTCTATTTCATATTTCGTTATTTAATATTACCTTTGCAAGTTGGTTCTTAGCTTGAATTTCAGCCGATGATGCTGGAGCTATATATATAAATATTTCTGGTCACCCTACTTGTTAGTGTGTAAGTAATTGAGTTGAGAGGTGGTGGTGGACGGAGGTTTTGTGAAGTTTTCATTCGATACATTCAATTTTGAAGTCATAGTTATTATCGTTGAGATTAAAAAGAGCCTTTCAAAGCAGCCTGATAGTTTTGGTGCACAATGGCTCCCAAGACTGGGAAGGCGAAGCCGCATAAAGCCAAGGGGGACAAGAAGAAAAAGGAAGAGAAAGGTTTTTCTTCTTCTTCTTCTTCTTCTTCTTCTTCTTCATGTTATCTCTCTCCTGTGTGTAACTTGTTTTGTTTGCTTGTTTGTTTTTGGTGTAACATTATCACCTCCTGTCTTTAATTATCTCTGGTGTAAAATTCAGCTGAAATCAGATGGCCATGGACATTACAATTTCATGTTGTTTAATTTCTTAATTTTCTGTTTGTGTTAATTAAATATTTAACTACCATTACTAATTGCAGTTTTGCCTACCGTAATCGAGATTAGCATTGAAACACCAGAGGACTCGCAAGTCACCCTCAAGGTATGAATGAATTTGGTTTTTTCAGAAGAAAAAAAACTCAGTTTTTGCATATAATCTCATCGTATGCGGTTGTTTTTTTTCCATACATTCATGGTACAATTCCAAAATCATCTAACATCTCTCTCTCTCTCTCTCTCTCTCAAAGACATGAGTAGTAGCAATGAAATTCATTTTCCATCTTCCATATATCTGATTCGGATCAAAATGAGTCAAGAGATAATTGCATAAGCAGCAACGACATTGTGGTTGCTACTAATATATAATCATATACACCCGCATTACTCATCTAATATAATGCATCAACTCGCTTGTAAATTTATTTATTTATTTGTTATTCTAGTAATCGAGCTATTGACAAATGTTCTCTAATGAGATAACGAGATGCAAGGGGCTTGTAGAACCCGAGGTTCTAGTTTTGATTCCTCTCTTCCTTAATATCGCTTGAATAAATAAATAAAAAATCTAATGAGATTGAATCTAGAATAAGAATCATTTTGTACGATCAAAATGTGCATTTAAGATTAACACTCGAGTTTGGAAATAGAAAACATTACTCTCAAATTTGAAGTTTTGTTTTTATTTTAATCACAATAACTCATTTAATGATAAATATATTATTTCGTGTATGTTTATGTTACGAGACTGTGAATTTGATTTATTAATGTGAGATTCAAATTCACATTCTTTGAGAATATAGCTCTTAATATAATAATAGTAATGGTAATGGTGAATGGGACCTTCTCTTGCTATATAGGGTATCTCTACGGACAGGATCCTAGATGTGAGAAAGCTGCTGGCAGTGAACGTAGAGACATGTCATTTGACCAACTTCTCCTTATCGCACGAGGTAACCCTTCCCCTCTGGGCGCCAGTGGGCCCCACCCCGATTCACCATTGTGATTTGTGATTTGTGATTGGTGAGATTTTAGGAGGAGCATTGCAGCATCATCATTTAATACCAGCCCACCTCTTTCATGCTTCTCATGTACTCTGCATCATGTGGTCCTCGTTTCTTCAATTGACATTTGATTTTGATGGGATCCTAATCAGGTGCGGGGACCTAGACTCAAAGATTCCGTGGACATCCTCTCGCTCAAACCCTGCCACCTCACCATCGTCGAAGGTAAATGGTCCGATGTAACCGCACCCAATTCTCCTAACCCTACACTTGTTGTACCGTATCACACCTTTTATTTTTGGTCCATGTAGTTTGCATTTTTTATTATTTTGATTCCGTACTTTTAATTTTGTGAATTTTATCTGTGTGATTTTAAATCTCTTGTAATTCAAGGACACGCTACAAGTTCCATCAAGCTCCTTCCAATTCGGTCCAAAATAACCCATTCATAACAGCGGAGCGTACATATTTTGTTGCAAAATTGGATGGAAGTTTGGACGTGTTCTTGAATTACGAGAGCATAAAACTGTATGGTTAATTTGCAAAAATTAAAATGACAAGGATGCATACGTGGGTTTAGCCAAGTTAGCTATAGCGAATGTGCTTCGCACTTTAGACGTGTGAATATCGATTGTATAAAATAAAAAAAATAACGACATTGACAAAAGTGAAAAGTCGAGCAAACTATAGGCACAAAATTGACTTTTTGCCTTTTTTTTTGGGTTGGGAAAATGTCACATTTCGTAGTTTGATGAAATTTTCACTTTCATCCATGTGGTTTTAATTATAGTAATTTGACTCCTACAGTTTGATTGTATTGCAATTTAAAGACACGTCCAAATTTCTGTCAAATTTCTTGATAGAATAAACACGTGTCTCTTATATGGAGGGGTATTTTGGATGGAAATTTGGATGTGTCTTTGAATTGTTATAGAATCAAGCCTAAATTGATAAAATTATAACTAAAGGGACTAAAGTAGAAAAACCAGCAAACTATAGGGACCAAAGTAACTTTTTCCCCTCTTTTTTCATTAATTTTTAATTTTGTTAATTTTCTGGCACTGGGTACCGGCAGATGACTACACGGAACAGCAAGCCGTGGTGCACATCCGGCGACTGGTGGACATCGTCGCCTGCACAACGTCGTTTGGCACCTCATCCGCTTCTTCACCCAAAACCCCCGGCTCCGGCCGGTCTAACTCCAAAGAATCCGGTTTAGAAGAGAGCGAGGCACCGCAGCCCCCAAACGTCGACGAGCCCAATGCCGATCCGAAGACCAAAGTTTCGGGTCCGGTTCCGATCGCCGGAGCTGACCCGGCCGTATCCATGTATCCTCCTCCGAAGCTCGGCCAGTTCTACGACTTCTTCTCCTTGTCTCACCTCACGCCTCCGCTCCACTGTACATTCTCTCTCTCTGTAGTTTCTACATTGAATTTGGTGCTTGTGTATTGATGGTGGATTCAATTGGGGTGGTGTTGCAGACATTAGAAGATCCACTCGTCCGTTCCTGGAGGATAAGAAAGAAGACGACTTGTTTCAAATTGACGTACGTGAGCCAAAAATATTGATTATTTATAAATGTATATAAATTCAATTGTTGCTTAAATTGGTGTAAATGGTGTGTGTTTGTGCAGGTTCGGGTTTGTAGTGGGAAGCCGACGACAATCGTTGCTTCCAGAAAAGGGTTTTACCCTGCTGGAAAGCGCGGTCTTATCACTCACTCTTTGGTTGCTCTTCTTCAGCAGACTAGCAGGCCATTTGATGCTGTAAGTTCCAAACGATTTGTTTTCTTGTTTTCCCTTTTTCTGGTTTTTTGCTTCTGTTATTAAGATCTTGCTTGCTTTCTGGATGCAGGCATACAATGCTGTTATGAAGGCTTTCACTGAGCACAATAAAGTAGGTGTTTAATTTTCACAATATATATACACACACATACGTATAGTCAAACTTAAATATGAATCAGACTAGACAATTTTACCAAACCATTTATTTTATAATTGATTTCAGTTTGGAAACCTTCCTTACGGTTTTCGGGCAAATACATGGGTTGTCCCTCCAGTTGTTGCTGAT